GTAGTTACTATTCGTACGACAGGTAGTTTTACTATTCTAACCCGATGAGGGTACATGAGCAGGTAGTTTACTGACCCAGCCCGAAAGGGTGTAGAGACAGGTAGTTTTACTGTTCTACCCTGATGTGGGCACATGAGTAGGTAGTTACTGTTCTAATCTGAAACGGGCATTGTGACAAGTAATTTACTAATCTTAGGAACATGTAGATGTTGCCCGACACCATTTGGGAGAATCTACTGTTTTGAGCTTAGTAGGTAGATAGGTATGGAGTACAGCCACCTTTAGAACGAAAGGGGCTCTTCCACACCGAAGAGTAGTACCTTAGGGCCTTTTCATGGCCACAGTGACTCCAAGCGCTTTTTGCGCAAGACTAATAAAGGTCCTAGACATACATGAAACCTAGAGCCAAGAAAAAATAGAAAACCTCTAGGTTGTGAACCTGAGAGGGATTGAGTACTCCTTAAAGGAGGTATGCTGAGGGTAGTTGTACATTGACCTACCAAGTTCGGTATAGCCGTTTAGCCATAGTTTGGGCGATCGTTAAAAATAGTTATGAGCACATAGCTTAAGTTTCCGTGTATAGGATTAAGTCCGACAAGAGCCTACAAGTACGGTCAATTTTTTTAGTGGCAAGTTTTATACGATCAGGTTAATGATATGGACTACATCCAGCGCCACTCTTTTTCTGTGTAGCAACCACTTCTCTGCCAACAGCAAGAGGACAACATTCATCATCTCTTGTGGAATTCTAGCTTTTACATTCTATTTGGACTAGATGGTTGAAGACCTTCAGTGTGCAACTGGCCTGAAGGACAGATAGCTTCTCTATGATTGAGAAAGTTTTCATGAGTAGGGCCAAGTGTTAGAGGCAAGCACGCTTCATCTCTATTGTTTGGAGCATTTGACTTGAGAGGACTAAGAGGATTTTAGAGAGGTTGAAAGATCTAGGGAGGAGGTTTAATGCCTCTTTCAGGGCATCTACTAATAAACTCTTTTGTAATTATGATCTTGGCATGATTTTGTGGGATTGGAGTCCTGTTATTGGATAGTAAGGAGAAAATTTGAAATTCATCATATTTATTAATATGATAAACCACATCATATCTCTTACATAATCAAGATCTTGAAACTATCCTTCAAAGGCCTTGATAAAGAATTAAAGTTTCATGCTTGAAGGCGTATAACTTATAGAAGCTTCTTGCACAAAGGGAAGATGGTTGTGAGGGTGACCGTGAGTAAAAACAATAATTTCATAGGAGCTGATTCACAGGGAAAAATCAAGTATAATAATAATGGTAATCCCAATTCCCAACGTAAACTTTGATGGACAGGTGAGCAGAAAATCCATGAGAACTAAGCAAGATAGCAGTACAAGAAGTAATGAACTGTTCAAATTGATGACACACTAATTAAAAAACAAAAAGCTAAATGTTTGTCCACTTACTTCATAATTTTCTGGGCGTCTTTCAACTATTGAGACTTTTGTAAGAATGAGTTGACGAGACACAGCATCACCATGTTCACCAAGTCCTCCTTTAGGGCCGACTCCCAAACTCAATCCTGGAACATTTAAAGTTCCATGTGCAGCAGACCGCAGTCTTGTAACAGACCAGCCACCGCATGGGGTTTCATCAGCTCCAACAGCCTCTTTTGCTAGATTTAATACATTTTTTCAAATGAGCTATAAATATAAACAAGCGGAATTTTAAAAAACAATGGAAAAAGTACATATAAGATGGGAAATGGTTCAATTAATTACCCCTTCGATTTATGTACTCCATCACAGTGAGAGATTGTGAACTATCCACTGAAAGTGACAACCCTACCATGGATTTTGCTGTTTTCGTCTACAATAAAGTAGACTTCAAATTAGAAATTCTTATACATGTTAAACCTCTCAGGGTAATTGTTTTGGTCATTCCTCCCTGATGAACAACCTCAGATTTACACAAACTGCTAGCCAACAAGATGCCAAAATTAAGAGTTATGCAACAGTGAGTTTTTAACCTACCAAAATTGAGATGATTGCACTGTTTGAAGTACCAGAAGAAGCTTGAAAGGCTTTCGATTTCCTTCCGTATAAAGGGCATAGAACAAAACCACCAAATTCAGCACTTCTTTTCCCATAAGCATCAGGTAGAATTATAATTGCAGGAGAGCTCATATCTCTAAAGTCCAAGCACCAACGAAGTTCTCCGGATCCTACGTCTAGTAGCTCGACTCCAACATTAGAAACTTTTAATTTCTGTAAAAGCAAGCAGACATAATGCCAAACCATTCAGCAACTGAAGCTAATCAACACAATAGGCGTGGGCATGTGAACGGAATTACTAGTAGTCATACACAAAAGCCCTTATCAATAGTCTCATCATTTTGATTCAGCTCTTCTATAGCCGACAAGAAAAGTATAACGACAGCAGCAAACATCTAATTTTTCCCAAGTTAAAGACAAGGTAAACACAACTTTCTTTCAGTTTCTTGAATCAGGTATTCTTAACCATTGGTTGCAGCCTAAGAGGTGTACATTGAGCTAGAAGAGTTCCTTGACACAATTGCAATGTTTAAACATTTATTTTTATTAAAAAGAATAAAGAAAAATGGTAAATAGCAAATAGTTCGCCACTCTATTCTGGATTCAGGCAAAGGAGGAAACTTACAAAGGGAACCCACTCCGAGCTTCGTCGCCGAAGATGAAGCACCGAAAACTCAGCAACCGGGGCCAATCTATTCCACCTAATTCTGTGCAACGCCGTTAATATACTCGCTCTGTATTTGGAAGAGAACTTCATCCCCTTGAACTTTCCGCGCCCATCCGTGCGAACACTGATGTTAAACTCGTTCGAATTGTCATCTCGCCCAATAATCGGCGTGGCACCCTCGTAGTCATTGGCGACATCGTATGAATTGGTCACCGCAAGTGTGGAAGGGTCTAATGTAATGATTGAAGCGGCCGAAATGCATAGAATCCGCTTGTAGCGGCCACGCCACGAGTGCTTAATAACCAAATAGCGCGCCAAGTATTCTGGCTCTTCGGGAGGCGCAGAATTGGAAGAATGAGCAGCGGATTGTTCCATCGAAGGAAGACGAGCAGGAGCTGGCCGAAAATCAGACGTAAGCCGGTTCACAGATTCGATATTGGCAAGGTAAGCAAGAGTATGGGCAGGAGGCACATTGCTAGATCGTAGAGAGAACCAGAGTCCCGCGCCGGATTGGACAGATGCAGCCGCCGACGGGCTTCTATGAGACCGAGACTGATTCGCCCCCAGCTCTGACGGTTATATATCCAACTCTCCAGCTTTGAATTGAACAAACAAAACCCTAATGAACTTTAATCATAAAAGAATATTCTGCAAAAAGAAATTGATCAGCCGAAATCCGTGAAATTGATCATGCAAATAGTAGAAGGGCATTTGATTCCCTCGATTGAATTCGATGAAGACTTATCATCAGACAACCAATTGTAAATTACTTGAGAAAGAATTTAGCCCGATCGTCGGAGGAGGAGGAGGAGGAGGAGGAGGAGGAGGAAGAAAACCCGAAAACAGGTCGGAACGATTGTTCCCAACGTTGAGAGGCACCACTGTCAGTTGGACACCAAAATTGAGGTCGAGGTTATCGTCACCTGTCAGTGACCATCTAAGAACGTGGCATCAATCCGATTGTTGAATGTGTTTAATCTAAGCCGTTGGTTCGCGGGACGCAACGCAATTAAATCCATCCCCTTGATTGAGGGATTTACTTAGCGATGTGAAATTACGAAGTCAACTGCCTCGGATGGTAATGGTAACATTATAATAAATTGAGGATGAGGAACATTTTTATTATAATATCCTCGATTCGATATACTTTTATTTGACAAAAAAGAGGCGTATCTAGAAGAAAAATACTGATGTAATTCAACTCAAGAAGGGAAAAAAAAATGATGATAATTCAACGCCTTTTTTAGATTCATAATATTCTTTTTAAAACCCTAAATTTTATTCTCACAATTTAATCTCTTTTCACGTCCATAAACTAAAAAACAAAAAAAAAAACAAAAAGAAACTTCTTGGCGTCGCCCGGACTCGAACCGGAGACCTTCAGTGTGTTAGACTGACGTGATAACCAACTACACCACGACACCAGATGTGAACATGCTTTGATTTCCAAATATACCTTTACATTTTAAGTATTAGTTCTCTCCACCATATCTCCACCTTAGCTATGGTGGAGAGGTAGACCACTTAGTTGAATGATGAGAAATAATTTTAAAAAGTAATAAATGGAAATTTTTCACAACAATTCACTTGGAGTTATATTTATGCCCATCTCTTTTCCAATTCGACTCACTTTCATCTTTCACGTGAGAACGATACAGGGTTACTGAGATCAATATCGGATAAGTAATTTTTTTACACCATCGTAACTTTGTATTATATAAATATGAGTGTGGTAAATCTTGTGATTTCATAATGCTTTATTTGAAGGTCATACTGTTTGATATCAAAATTAGCGATAAAATTTCTATATAATCATTCCCATATATATTTTATTATTTGAAGGTTGAAGTTTTTTTTTTTTCTTTTTTCCTTTCTTCGTCTATATAAATGGTACGCAAAGAAGACACAACATAAACAAATCTAAATGAAGTAGTAGAGATAGCTGTGGTAAAGGCAATAGCAAAAGTACGAGTCTTCGTTAATCACCTACCAATAGAGACTACCGGAGAAGGTCCTCAATTTCTTTAGGAGGTAACCAAAGCAACATACCAAAAAAAAAAAAAAAAAAAATAATAATAATAATAATAATAAAATCTTATCCTATTTTTTAAAAATGGGGGTTTTTAGATGAGTGTCCGAATTTGTAAATTTAATTATATTAATATTTCAATATTTGAATAATCCGAATCAGATTATTATTTTTTTAATTCTTTTGAAAATTAATATTGAATTTCATATTGATGTATGAGTTACCAAATATACTTCGAAGGGTTTTGTTGTCGTCCGGTCAGTGTTCCTTTTATGGTTATTTCCTCTGGTAATTCTGGCGAAGTTAGCTCCAATCCAATTCCATGGCCTGCAAATCTCTCGTTGCACACAGATTTCATAACTTATCCATTGTCTCTTCCCTTTACAACGCTTCGAAGATTTCCCGGACGACGTATCCAATGTTGTCTACATTTCGACCAGCAGTAACCCGCTCGATATCGGTCGCCGCCGGCAGCTTCTCTTGGGACGACGTTGTGCACATTTCTTTACCATCAAGCTTTCAGGACGATCCTTCAGATCTGACGGGCTATTTCGAGAAGGTCAAGCTCTGCAATCGTGGATCAGTACGTCTCTTTCTCCTTTTCTTGTTTGGATGTACAACCTAAAGATACAAGGTTATTCATGCTAGGATTATTCGCGTTTATAAATAATGAATATAATGAATAGTATCTTCATCGATAGGAGAAGGCCCTCCCGGAGAAAACTAAAAGTAAAACTCTGAGAACTTACATTCAAAGTGGGCAATATCACACCACCATTGTTGAGAGTCGTGATTCCTAACATGGTATTAGAGTCATTCCAATAGAATCCTCAAGTGTCGAACAAAGAAGTTGTGAGTCCCGAAAATGCAGTCAAAGGTGACTCAAATGTCGAACAAATAGTGTACTCGCATTGTTACAAGGTATTTAAGGGAAAATCAAAAGTAAAACATCCGAATAAAGTGGACAATATTTGGAGAGTCGTTCCTTGTCTGTCTGTTTGAATGTTTTAAATTGAGTAAATTTTCTTACAGGATACGCAATCTGAATTTCTCCCGTTTGTCATCGACAACCAAATTGTTGGCTACGTGCACCATGGGTGAGGCTCCTGTGTTCTGTCTGGACAACGTTACGTATGTTGAAGATATGATCCATCTGTGTTGCCAATTCTTACTTGCCTTCATTTCATCAAAATTAGCCTGTGCGCAGTTGCAATATACTGTGGATAGGCTCAATTGATCGTTTTGATGTACTTCATGCAGTTTCGCTAAACACCTGAAGCAGTATCCGAATGTCTTTATCTTCCCCCGAGATGATTGTGGTCAATTGGGCGCTTACTTAACCTTGCATGAATCGTTGAAGACACCTGAAGATAGGACGCATGCAGTTGGAGATGTAGTTAAGTGTTTGGGTGAAGAAGTCATTCCAGGTACACGGAATGAGGTACTGCTTGTGATTCCAAATTTAAACCGATGATTGCATTACTTTTCAGTGTCTTTCTGTTTGCAATCGTTGCATAGAAAGAAAGAAAAAAATCGCCATCTTCTGTTTAATGCTCAAATAAACTTGTCCTTTTTAGATAGTTAATTTTTGAACTAGACAGTACTTCATGTGGCTAACTGTGGATAACCATGAACTCTGTCAGCTATACCCTGTTACTTCGTCCTTTGGTGCGTCAAGCTTCTTCTCACTCGAACGAGCTGCGGCTCCTTATTTTGGAATAAAGGTGCGAATGTTCCCCTTTTACAGCTTTGTGGAAATTTATAATTTTTTGTTCTAACTCCTGAAACGCACTTTGGAAGCTATGTTTTGATCCTGCTTTTAGTTTGGCCCTTGAGCATAGCAGGCCATTTGATTTGTTGAATCTGTTTACACACGTTTGGTTGTTTGGTCCAAGTAAAATTGGAGCCATTATATTTATTGTCATTCTGAATACAAAAGCAAGATTTGAAATAACTGATGATTTTGCAAACAACTTTCTGGTGCTAAAATTTAGCACCAGAAAAGCTTAAGAGGGTAGTTTCTTAATATATACTTGCAGGTTAAGTGAAACTTTTTGAAGGGTTATATAGAATCTCCCTCAATGCTATGGTGTAAATGGAAAATTCCTTTTGAGTAGGGTAAAGCATACGTCACTTGTAGGTTGTAGCAGTTCTCTGGTGTTGTTCACACATGGCTGATTTACTTACAAAAGAAGAGCCCAGACATTGAAGTGAAATTTATTGTTGAATGTGCATGTCGGAGATGGAAACTGGCTACTTGGTTGTAAATAGCTGAAAGTTCTACTACTCCACTACTTGGTTTCTCTAACTTTTGTCTGCCTTATCGTGGTGCGTTTCCTAGCACAGGTTTATGGAGTTCATATGAATGGTTATGTTGAGAGGGAGGGAGAAAAGTTTTTGTGGGTTGCGAAAAGGAGTCAAACAAAGCCAACTTTTCCTGGAATGTTGGATCATTTAGTGGCTGGAGGGCTGGTACGTAATAAGTAATAGCTAACTGTTGCAAGTTTCCTTACATGTGCTTCTGTCACGTGAAAATGTGAAAAATGATGACTATTCTGTTTTTCTTCATGATTGGATGATCTCTGGGTGTTAGTTCCCTTATTCTTTTTCGTTTCTTCTTTTAGATGTTTGTAGTTATATAGATACTTTCCAGTAGGTATCATTTAGCCTTCAAACCTTCTTTCAATTTGGTTCATAATATTTTCAAAGTTTTAAGTAATAATACCCTTTAGATATCAAAATATTTCAACGAAGTCCATGTCCCTACTTGATAATTCGTTGAAATTGAAAAAGGAATGGTGAAATGAAATTTTAAAATATTACTTTCTGTGAGAAAAAGTCGTTTGAATGTTAAATATCCATCTCATCCCATTTAACTAAAAAATTCGACCTCCCTATTTATTAAAGATAAGATATATATTTAGAATTGAAAAAGAACGTAACTTATATATAAAAAATATTTCGACGCCATATCACCCTTGTTTTATTAATTTCATTCATTTATTGAATAAGGACTTGATCGAACATTTTGATACCTTGAGAGATGTAAACTTTAGAGGCTGACTTATATATTTAACCTTTCTGGCATGTAGTATTACATCCTGGCTCCTGCTATGATGAATCAGAATCTGTTTGTGTTTCAGCCAATATGTATGTCTAGTTTGTTAATCTTAGTTTATGTATGCAACAATTATTGATGTTTACTTTGTTTGGGTAATAAAGTTGAATAAGTTAAATAACAAATTAGACAAGATTTTGATACTACAAATTTCTTGACGAGTTACAACTTATTAATAAATTTCTAGTTATACAACAGTGGAAACGTCTATACCTACGGATTTGAAAACATAGTTGTGCAACCCTTGATAATAATCAGAGGAAAAAGAGATGAGGAGATATAAAGTTAGAACTATGCCCTTGAGTGCTGAATACCGTACTTCTTGTGCCTTTATAGCTAGCCCCTGACATTTTGATAGTGACAGCCTCAGGGCATCCCTTGTGGGGAGAATGTGATGAAGGAATGTGAGGAGGAAGCAGGCATACCGAGATCAATATCAAAAGGGTAATTCCCTTGCAAGAATTTGAATATAATTTCTCACCAATATAACCTTCGTGTATTACATGGTTGTGGTAAGCCTGGTGGCTTCACATAATGCTTTTGTTTTAGGGCCATACCAGTTGGTGCCATTTCATATACAGACATCAAAGGTTTTAGTTACAAGCGAGATGTTCAATTCTGTTACGATTTAAAGCTTCCTGAAAGCTTTATACCGGAGAATCAAGGTTAGCTAATTTGATACATTTTTGTTTACATGGAAATTCAATGTTTAACTAACAAGATATATTACGTTGTATTAATCTAGACTAGCTCCTAACGACTCTCTTTCTTTGTCTGAGCGCCGGTGTATATATTCTGCATCATATTGTTTTATTATTTTGTTTCACTACAAGTTTTTGTCTAACTAGCTCGAACTTTTGTCAGATGGGGAGGTTGAAGGATTCATGTTGTTGCCTGTGACAAATGTTGCAAATGTGATTCGGAGGACACAGTTATTCAAGCCTAATTGTACTCTTGTCATTATCGATTTCCTATTTCGACACGGGTACTATATACTTTCTTCTCTGAATATACCTTTGTTACACAGCCATTATTTGATTTAGTTATAACTCCAAGTGTACGTCTTGGTTGTTAACATTTGTGGTTCAACCAAATTGTCATGAGTACAATCTTTTCTAAACCACATAGAATGTATTTGATTGGTGATCTAACAACTGGATGAAAATACTTTATACCTCTACTTCTCAGGGTATCCTTAATGAGTCTACAGTTGTTTGTATTCATGCGTTTAAAAACTTGCAGGTACATTAATCCCGAAAGTTCGGGGTACTTGGAGCTACTGCAGAGTTTGAGAAGTGGGACCTGCTTCTGATAAAACAATTCGTCCAATACGTTGATGATAGAAAAATCAGGTTAATTTGTTTCAATATCGAATCTGGATTGTTACATACTGTTTATTGTTTTTGCAGAACTTTCTTGTTCACTAGATGTATTTGTGAAGCCAAACAAACTCTGTTTGGTACATCTATTAAATGAAAACACATTAACAAAAGTACACCTGAAAGCCCACTACATGGAAACAATTTGAATCATGAACTCCCCAGCCACTATAAACACACTACACTTCACACTGACTTGCATTATTCACTTACATTTCTAACCCAAGATTTGACTGAGAACTATTGAATATCAAAAGCCCAGGATTTCACCAAGAACTTGAAGCAACTGGAGGTGTGCAGTTAAGTGAGGGAAGTGTCCATTAGTGTTAATAACTCTCACTGTGCAACTGCCCTTGATTTGCTTCTGCATAAAGATGGCAACCGAGGCAGGGGCGGCAACGTCGGTTTTAGTGTGTAGGATGGTGCATGGAATGTCGACCTTTTCAAGAATCCCCCTCTCATCCACTCCGAACACTGTCTTAGCCAAGGACACTGCAACTTCAGGCCTCATCTCATGCAAGCATTTCCGCAACCTGCTCAGTGACAGAGGATCAGCTTCGTCTACAACCAGAGAAGAAAACTGTGTGGCCCAATTTTCGTAGTTGGCTTCCATATTTGCTATCATTTGCTCGATGTCCGATTGGTCGAAGCCGCCTTCATAGTCTTCTGTATTTATATACCTAACACAATGATTAATATGTTGTTAGAACTTAGAACTTTGGAGCAGAAAGAATTACATTTCAGAACCGTTTTTAAGCAACTCAGCCCTTTTCACCTTGCTTTCAAGAATACATTCATCAAATTGATTCGCTCTTATAGTATAGGGGGAATTACAGAAACAATGAAATAAAAATTGTATATTGTATTTATTACTTTGAAATTTACAAATATAATAGCATATAGAGATTGAAATTAACCAGAGGAATAAACAATTAAATAAACCCATTACATAATTGACTTAAAAGTTTGATGTTCAAATGTTTACTTTTACATAGTTGAACAGAAAAAAAAAATATAATGATGACATAGATAGATGCTAAAACATATGTTATATTATATATATAATAAATAATAATAATAATATTACATAAGCAGAACATAATGAAAATATTAAAGAGACAAACAATAATAATTAAAAAAAACAATTTTTTTAAAAAACCAATAATAATAAATAAAATAAAATAAGCAATAAAAGAACAAATACGTGCGGTCAAGGAACTCGAAATCTATTGGGCTCTGCCTCGGGCAGATTTAAAATCCAGCCGTCGATGAGTTTCCATATATATTATTCTTAAAAGTTTTTATTATTTAGTAATTAAATTTGACGTTGATATCAAAACCGACCTTAGCTCAGTTGGTAGAGCGGAGGACTGTAGTGGGTATCAAATCCTGAAGTAATCCTTAGGTCGCTGGTTCGAATCCGGCAGGTCGGATTTTTTTTTTTTTGTTTTTTTTTGTTTTTGTGTTTCTTTAAGAAGAAAAAAAATCCCTTTTTTGTACTTAAAAATCATGATTCATTTTCCTGTAACTTCATAAGATCCAATTTGACTTGAGATTTCTACTTCTAAGATTGAATAAGTTTGAGGGGAAAGAAGTATTATTTGACCATTTTTACCAAGACCCATGTGCCCATATGCCCACCAACACCTTACACAGGTTCAAAAGAATTTGTCGAAAAGACAAAGAATTGTTTGATTTTGAATTAAAATCAATAAAAATACCTGGGAGAAGAACAGAGCAGAATGAGTCTTTGAAACAGGTCAGGTCTTTTAGTGGAAGCAATGCAGCCAATAAGGCCAGACATGGAGTGGCCAAGGAAGATGGTGGAGGTGAGGCCAAGCTCATCAAGGAGAGCAATGAGATCTTCAGCAAAAGCATAATAGGAGGAGTACTTTTGAGGATCATACAAGTTGGGATCTTTGATGGAACCCCAAAATGTCCAATCAAAAACAACAACACGGTACTTCTGGCTCAGTTTCCCAACCATATTGTCCCATAATGACTGGTTGGTTCCGAACCCATGAGCCAAAACCATTGCTTCCCTCCCCGAACCCATTACCTTAGCGTTTAGGGCCATCGACAGTGGCCCATTTTCCACCATAACAACCATCGCACCAAGAAAGAAAGGACTAAGAATAAGATGAAGGCTTGTGTGTGAGTGTGTGGCTCAGCCTATGGCTGTCTTTATAGGGAATAGAGGGGTGGGGTTGCTTATACAAACTTAAAATTAAAAAAAAGATCAAAATAAACACAAATTTTACCATATTTATTTTTCGTGATCGAAAACGGTGGATCACAATCTTAACGGTCTCATTAAATAATTTCTCGGCTCAAAAAGTAGGACGTTGTCTTTTAGTTTTAATTATTTATGAAGGCTGAAGATAAGTCCAATACCCACCTTTTCTCATTTATTTCCCCTCCGTCCCCACCACGTTGTATTCCAAAGCCCTTCATTTAATTAATTTATTTTTTATTTTAGTTTATATATTTTATACAAAATTACCACAAACCCCAAGATGAACAAAAGTGCTCTTTTGTTTGTTTTCGCCCATTTCTAAACAATAATCATTCAAGTCAACCATATGTCACAAAATTATGATATTTTTGGTTCCCACCTTCTATTTTATATCACTATATCTAATTATTATTTTGAAATTTTTATTTACTTCTATATTAAATTATTTCGTATTAGTTGCGAGAGATATGTACTATAAATTTTATTGGTTGTCGAAAAGAATAGTCAACTTTGATGATTTCGACTTGTTATCTATCTCCAAGGGCTGCTGCCATTTATGCTGACCACATTTTTTTATTTTTAAATTAAAATGAATGATTAATGCATTCATTAATTAACAAGTGTTTCGGTTGGGAGTGAGTCCCACATTGGCTAATTTAGGAAATGATCATGAGTTGAAAGGAATACATCTCCGTTGGCATGAGGCTTTTTGGAGAAGCTCAAAGCAAAAACATGAGAGCTAATGCTCAAAGTGGACAATATCATATCATTGTGGAGAGTCATGATTCCTACATGATATAGAATCATGCACTAAACTTAACCAGGACAATAGAATCCTCAAATATCAAATAATCCTTTCAATATTGAAACTCAAGATCTTATGCATGCATCATCCTCCAAGCCCTACTGCGTCCTCCAAGTTTAGGCTTGATCTCATTTTTGTGAACAAGAGAACAACTTAGTAGTTAAAATATCTATTCATTTTCGAAGAATTTTACAAATTGATTATTATTATAAAAAAAAATTAAAAAAAAAGTGGCAGGTTCTAGAATTTGGTGTAAATGTGAAGTGGGGTTGGCTGCTATTAAAGCCAAAAGGTGAAATGTAAGAGAGGAGAGATTGTGGTTTGTGTTGATGATTGGTGTGGTTTGGACAATCCGTTTGTTTGAACATTAAAAGCTGAAAGAAGCTCTCTGGTCTATGGAGCAGAGCCTTTAATGGCGGAAGTGGACGGTTGAGGGAAGCAATTAGCCATCCATTAACACATCTTGCCTTCAAAACTGTGACTTTTCAAATGTATCTGCAATGTCCATGGCTCCTCATTTATTAGGCCGCTTCCTAATTGTTTGCATTTTTAGATAAATCCAACGATTCTCTCCACCACAAACTAAGATGGACTGAAAATATCCCATTCTCACTGTAATAAATGCACCATTATAGATTCAAAAACCTATAACTCACAACCGAGCATAACTAGAATGTTAAGATCGCACAACAACACAACACTCGATCTAAATGTAAATCTAAATGAACACAAAAAAACATGATAGAGAAAATGCAAGGAGAACTCCGGCTAAAGGTTTTGTATTGATAACTACATATATGTCCGACAGGAGAGAATATAGAGGGATATATATATATGGTTTAACTTACCATAAACAGCTAGATATATCATCTACTATATATAACTATTTATTGGCTTTTTTGACATTTTACCAAATATAGTTTTACTATATATAACCGTTGACACGATGCATCAGACTCCATAACCTAAGGTAGAAATCTAACCAAGATTGAAAAGATGACGGATTGACTCTTTGAGCTGCACTTAAAAAGAGCTTTATGAACCATAGGAGATGCCATAAGAGAACAACAAAAGAAGCAGATAAATTTCTCTAATTTACTGTTTGAGATTCATATTTCACCATTTCAGCTGCTTTTAAGCATCTATTACATTACAATATTACATGAAAAAGGACTGAAAAAAAAAGGATTTATCTATCTCTAACTCCATCCAAACTGGGATGCTTTTAATTCAACAATCTTGATTTCTCTTAGCCTAAGTTTTAAATTTGCTGTAACTCTAAACTGCCTGCAGGAAAGGACACCCCAAGAAAAATATATGATATTACAATAATGGAAGCTTTATCAGAGAAGTCCTACTTAAACACAAAATTTAGGAATTCTATATTTTACCTGGGCAGGAGTTAGCTGAGGAACATCAACTAACCTCTCCATCATTTGCAGTTGATCATAGGGAGCAATCTACACATTAAATAATAAGGTTTACATTAGAACTACCTTATAAAACACAGTTGACTTTTGATTTCTTTCCTTCCAAATCCTCAACCAGGAATGGGAACTTTTAGCAGGCTACACACTTGAAATGAAATGATTCATTCGTAATTTGTACCAAAATCACTCTCTGCTTGATAGACACAAGAAAAATACAAACACAAAAGGAGTTTTAATGTGTCTTATCCCCTACCTGCTTCTTTTTATCTGATCTTTCCTTGTTAACATAAAGGAAATTTTTTTGTAATTGCATAGTCTTCACCGGCCATTAAGCATGTTCGTTTTCCCCACCCCCACCGAAATGGGAAGGGGGAGGGAAGAAAAATGCATTCCTCATCCTCGTTCCCAACTCTATTATTATTAATGTTTTTTTTTTTTCATATGATAGAATTTTAAATGATTTGAGACTATATTATACTATTTAAATTTAAACTTTTAAGAATGATGGGTTCAACATTTTTAACTATATATATTTTTTTTAATTATTTTAGTTTTTTGTTAAGTTCTTCAAGAATTTCTTTGAGATTTTTTTCATTGAAAATTGACCATTTAAATATAGATTTTCAATAAAACAATCAATCTATTTTATTGATTTTTTTTTTCTAAGAAAACTAAATGAAGAATAATTTTTCACAAAGAGTCTAATCTCTGTGAATTTCTTGCAGAAAATTTCCGCACCAATCTCCACATAATTAAATGAAAAGTTTTGCCAGGACAGGGAAGCCATTCCTCCCCTACCTGCCTTGTGAACATCCCAACCGGCCATGCCCTCTTGGAGGGGCAGAGTGTGGAATCAGAATGGGCCAGAAGCAAAAAAAAAAAAAAAAAAAAAAAAAAAAAACTTAGAATTTTCCAATAGGATCATATGTAGACAGTCATCACTCTAGCTACCTGTCCCCAGATTTTAAAATAGTTGGTTTGGAAGTCGGTCAATATCCTTCGCATTTACTTGTGACATCAGTGTTAGGTATATGTTATAATTCTTGAGATCTTTGTGTTTTTCCCACTTGAAGATGAGATAAGGTTAGTTATTGTGTTGACTTCATTATTTGATATTGGCATATTAATTGGCAAACTTCCAATGTTGAAAAAGCCCAATCTGTATGGCTAATCCTCCCCTCTGGCATTTTCTTCTTTTTAATGAATCTATATCTTACCCAAGAAAGAAAAAGGATAAAGAAAACGTCCCCCCTCCCCAAACATCAATAATATGGACTTGATCATTTCAATTTATCAATCAAATTCAATCCTGCTCACCTGGTTAAATCCGTCGGGCCAGGTAATTGTCACAGCATAGTTCCCCATGGGCTTGATTTCCTCAGGTTGAATGTCTTCTGGAATATCAGCGTACTGCAGTTTTTGCTCACCTGTCCATTCGTCCTGTTTTGGGGGGAAAAATCAAAATCCTCAAGTTTTAGGGCTTGAGATAATCAGCCTTAATATCGATCAATCACTAGAATAAAATGTTAATCAACCATGAAAGAATACTGATCAATGTTCTGTTCCCACAAAGAATATATCGTTTGCTTTGATAAATGATCATGTAATGTCAAAGAAAAAAAAAACTAGATGATCAAGTAGAAACTAGAAAGTTTTGGCTGCCAGGAATCGCTCCATTTATTTATTGCTGTATCAACCAAGTCTCAATCACTAGAATCCTCTACACACCTATATGTGATGAGTCATCACAATCATGGCTATGGAGGAGCTGGGTTTAATAGCCTGATTACAATTCAAAGTTTTCTACCCCTAATATTGTATTAGTAAGCTGATGTGAAATGACAGGCATGAAACTGACTCCGCCAGCCACCAGTTTTTTTCGTTGACCGCTTACTAGTAATTATCATAAATTTCAAATGGCATCACAAACTTCACGATGTGAGTAGAGCAAGGCACAGTGAAAACTAATGAGCAATTATCCTTCAACCATATATTCCAAAAATCCCAAGTAATTATCTTCCAAAAAAACAAAAAAAAAAAAAGTAATGCCAAAAGATGAAATAATATTACAAGGATAAAACTGTTTCATCTGAAAGTACAAAAGCTAACAGAAAAGTATAGTGAATTAGCCAATAAACGAGGAAGATGGAATGCCATTCCCGCATCCCCTATTACGTTTAAGTTCACACAGACGAACATGGACCACTGTGTGTGCTCGGTCTATAAAAGGATACTTTCGTTTTTGACTATCAAGTCAACATTAAAAAAGTCGTACATAAATAAGCTGGCAGACTGTTTTCTTCATCAGTTAGTATATGTACATATCAAAAATAAGAACCAAGAAGAACATGGTTGAATTTTAGGGCGATCTAATATCTTGAGGAAAATATATAGAACACCAATATTGTATCTCGCCCAGGAAAAGAATTAATGAAAAGAAAAAACTAGTAAAGGTAGATACAAATGTATGTATGAAATTGTTATATAGAAGAGATACAGTCAGATGCATGCAATAATACGCTTAGATTGAAATTGATAGCCAGCGTTTCCAAATCATTATTCAGATTTTGTAATTAAATTTTAATATTTGAACAGCTAATAAATATGCATGAAGAAAAAACTTGTTCACATGCTGAAAATTTTGGCCAGCCATATAAAAGTCTCTAGCTCACTAGCTTTTGCCAAGAATAAAAGCTAGCTGTCATGACACGCATGACATTTCACCCAATATTTTACTAAGAGGTTTCAAGTGGCAGTTAGCACAACATTTCGAAGGCATCTAATTGTCTTCTGAGATACGGTTGGATAATGTAGGAATTGCATTTAGGAAATAATCGAAGGAATAAACTAAAATCAATTACAATCACTGAACATACCACACTCTGGGCAGAGCGGTCATTTCGTCTCACGGTCGCAGGATGCAAAAGGAATTCTTCATCAGAATCAGGTACCTTCACCCTGATTGCTCTGATTGTTCTATCATAAGTAACGGCTGTTGATACTGGCATTTAGAAAAGTATATTGAAAATCAGCATCCTTTTTGTAGCATGAGCTATCAAAATTGGTCTCAAGAATATGCTAAGAAGGGTTTAGTATAATACCAGCACAATCATTAGAAGGTGAAATCAAAATACCTTGTTGCCGGATCTTGGCACACTGTTGCACAACACAGACCCCAAGATCCTGAAATGTCTTGGCGACTTCACCTTGAGGATCAGCCACCGCTTCAGGTATGCCACTATCTCCTGATGCTGATAGCTATCCAGATTAAAGAACAAATTTTGAAGTGATTAAAAAAGAAAAATCAAAATTTAGCCATAGTACACTCATAAAGGTCGTCAAGGGAACTTATCGTCAGACTTACAGTAGGTCTAATGGGAAGATCAAACAAGTGAGGAATTCCAAACTGCTGAACCACCTGCAATTTACACACTACTTAAATATAGTCGAATAAAAAGTTTCTATCTTCAAAAGAGTTCTCAGGATATGCTACGTGCCTGAGAACCTGAACCTCTGCCAAATGGGTAATAACGTTTTCCGTCAGCATCAAAATGGCACATGTTCTCAACCACGGCAACACAGGGCACCTTGAGTAAGAGTGGTATCTTAAAGTTAAGAGTATGTCTGATCATAAGAACCTTCTGTCTGTTCTTTCATGGATTCCACAATAAGAAAAATTTACACCATGACAGTCAATTAAACTTTCATAAAAAATTTCAAACCTTCAGTTTTGAAAACATGCGAACTCCTTTTGCAACATCAATGAATGCTAATTTTTGAGGCGTGGTTACAATAACAGCAGCAGATAAAGGGACCACCTGAAATTGTTTTTTATCAGGTCACCAATAATAAACAATGGAATCAACTAAGCTTCACATGTAGAATGGTCAGCAGTAATGTGCTAATTGGAAAGGCTATCAACAATAATGCATGTATACTCCAAAGAAAATAACAATGGAGAATAAAGCAACAATGTGATAGCAAGTAAGAAATTGTATTATAAAGAAGAGTGAAGAACCTAATACACCATAGAAAAGGAAAACATAATTTCAATGAGCTCTTACATGTGTATTGGAAACAAGCTTGAAATATTATATTGAGTTCCAAGGAAATTTAAAGTAAAAATACAAACAAACCTGACAAAGAGTGAGTTGAATGTCACCAGTTCCGGGGGGCATGTCAATGACTAGATAATCCAACTCCCCCCTACATTATTTACAGTTGATTATGATTAGAAAATGGTTACATGTTAACACTAATAATAGGTAGCCACTCGTTCTATTAAGTTTAGTTTAAAGCATAATACTGTTGCTGAGAAACCGTCTCTTGATTAAACTAATTCAAAAGAAGTGCAACTTCAATACTATATAAGTTTAAACATTTGCAAAATCTCTTCTTATTTTGAACTTTTAAACATACTTGTTTGGACACGAGAGAAAATATGCAGAACATTTTGCCTATGTTTTGCCTTGAAACTTCTCTTGTTTTGTTTCTTTCTTCATTAGTCTTAGGAGTAGAAATGTGATGAAATATATTAAATAATTAAATTTACTCTAGTTCAGGGATTAAGGGGTAGTTTGATACATGCGGTATAAATATATTTTATTTACTAATATTCCTGACTTCTAATTTGTTTACCAAGAGAACAAACCATTCACTAGTAGTCAGTAGCTGGTTAATGACACCAGAAACCATTGGACCTCGCATTATGGCACGACCTTGTCCTGCAAATCCAAAGGATACCAACTTGACTCCCAAGTATTCAGTTGGAATAATGGTTCTCGTCTCTGGGTTCTGTAGAAATTTTAGATATTCACAATCTACCGTCACTGACTGAGAAAATTTTGATGAAATGTCGAAAGGTTACCATTTCTAGCAGTCTGTTTTCAGGGGAAACCATAGTGGGCAAACTTGGTCCATAAACATCAGCATCAAAAATACCAACTCTAGCACCCATACCAGCCAAAGTATACGCCAGATTTACAGCTACAGTTGATTTCCCTACACCTCCCTGCATTAAATGTTAGCTATTTCCTTTAACAGGAAAGAAGAAGAGAACATAAGGAATTTTCTGATGCGGAAAAGGGCACTAAATCAGTAGCAATCTTTTTCCCCCTCAAATGAGAAGACTCTATATGACAGCGTTCAATAATGTTTATGGTAGGCACCAAATTACAAACGTGTATATACATAAGCACATAAGAGGAGAGTTTACGAGATCTATGGGGTCCATTGTATTTTGTTAATTAGAAGGAGGGCCACGGAGATAGGGGTATATAGCTGATTGTCTGTTTGGGGAGGGTATCTTTTTTTAACTATGTTTTGCTTGGACGTTCTATGTGAGAATTGGACAGGTGGAAGCTTCCAAATCTTCCCTTATTTCCTTGTTATCTTGTTATCTTGTTCATAAATAAAATAGCTGGACAAAGCCTATCAGTTAACAATTACAACATGAAATAATTTGAAGAAATTATACACCAAACTTTTTCCAGAAAAGAAGTCAATCTTGGAAATTAATGATCTGCACTTCGATAGATATTCAAATCAAATTGAGCTGAAAAAGGATGAAAACGAGTAGCCTACCTTGCAACTAGAAACTGCCACAATGTTTGAGATTCTCCGCAACCCAGGTGGAAGTTCCCCAGCATAAATAGGCTTTGCTGGTTGTGCTGACATTGTCACTTTCACATCTTTTACCCAAGGAATTGCTGCTACTACCTCATTCGCTCTCTGTTCAAACTGTCATGCAACGTATGTTATTACCTTTAATTATGACATTCAAGTAAATGCATAAACCATTAGGGCTTCAGAGAAATGTTTTTTTTAAGAGAACTATGGAAGTTTATCAGAAACGAACAAAAATAAATATCAACTAATGAAATTGCTGCAGCACATATACAAAACAAAAATCATGAAAAGAACCACGGTGGAAAACAAAAACTCAGTTCCATTTCTAAGAAACTTGTGGTCAAAAACAAAAAGTCTACCCTTCCAAACATATGTCAGTTCTTGTTCAAACAACATGATTGGGTCATTTACCATGTCCTTGACTGGACATGCTGGTGTAGTGAGCTCTAACCGGAAAGAAACCTGTGATCCAACAAATCATTTAGTTTAATTAACAACAAGAAGACATCACAGAAAAATCTTTCAATTCCACGTTCTCAATAAACCTCTCCTAAAGCCTCATCAATTTGAAGATCTTTCACGAAACCACATGAGACAATATCTGTTCCAAAATCTGGGTCGATAATTTGCGACAACGCTCTTAGTACATCAGCCTCAGCCGTCTCAGTGGACATTACAGAAGCACCAGCTACAGTTTACAGAAAACAGAATCTGTCATTTGGGTTATTACATGATTGATGAAACAGCTTTTCCAGCTGATGGTTAATATTGGATAAAATGGTAACAAGAACAAATTTGATTTTAGAGAAATGCTTTGATGCTAAAACAGCCTACCCTCACACTAACATGATTGTGTGATGAATGTGACAACTTCTTTGCTTTGCTAATATACAAATATGAGATCCTTTTACGATATAACATGGATATTGGTTGGTGCATAGCTGAAACGCTGCACCTCATGTAGTATGAAAGACAAGCTTCTTGCATTCTCAGTTTTATCCAAATCTCACATGTATATTATACTACCACGATAATAATTTGTTACTCAACAAATTTAGAGTATAGGCTTTCTTTGACACTTGATAATTCTTTACTCAGTTAAAATGCGAAGTGATGACCCTGTTTCCTTCTCTCAGCTTAAATTCGCCATTAAATATTAGGATAAATGAATCAATATTATTATTTATACACATTCTTCTATAAGTTATCTCTCCAATCTTCCATAATTACTTTTTTTTCCCTTAAAATATGTAAACCTTTTTTTTTCTTTAATTCAACGTGGGCATAATTAGAAACTAATTCTGAAGCAATGAAGGAATGAAGTTTGAATAAGAATCTATAATTAGAAGCTTCGAGTCATAATCGTTGTATAATAAACAAGTAGCAATATACTAAACAAAAAACCGTGAAGTTAAATTAGTGACGTTAACTTTTATCTTATTGCTACTAGCACGTGCCAAGTCTAATTTACAATTCTAATAAGAATCTGCTCTTCACCTATACTGCAATTTCACCGCGCAAAACAAAATTGCCAATTAATCAATTTTCTTGTCTCGGGATTCCAATACCACAACGAAATATCCAAATTCATTTAAGTAGTAATTTACGGTCTGTCGAAGGATTGGCAAAACTCGAGAAGCCTTCCTACATTAAGCAATGGAGATTTCGCCCTTCTACAACTGGATTTAACAAAAGAAAAAGAAAAAAGATGCAATAAACTGATAATTACCTTCAGTAGAAGCAGCATTTCTAGCAACTGAACTCGGAATGGAGCTTCCACGTAATACGGAAATGGACCTATCAATTCTTTGGTTATGAACCAACGACTTGAAAGCCGAGAGTAGCAGAACGTTATCTGAGAATAGAATACCGAATTCAGAGAGTAAGAAGATTATTATTGAGCATAAGGAAATGAATTTGGATAGAAAGTTACCTGGTTTTGATTGTGCTTTGATAATCTTGAATGAAAGACATGGCGATGATGGAGTATGAAGAAGCATTTTTAGAGCGAAAGGAAGCTGAGAGTGGTCGAAGTTTCAGTGTGGATGAGGCAATTCTGAGTGAACTGCCTTCTCAACTTCCTGCTCTAGCTGTTGCCATGTAATCTTCTTCCTAATCCATCCGATTCCGCTGCAACGACGCCGTTTCATCCTTTTGCAAATTATTTATTTATTATTTGCAAATTTGTGATCATGCTCTTGTTTCCGTCTTTTCATCAGACTAGAGGCTGTAATTTTTACACGTGTCGCCATGGCGAATTTTTATCAATTCAATAATCTTAATTATCGAGTTGTAATTAAAAAACAAAACAAAACAAAACAAAAAAACAGCATGTGCTTGTGGTTGGATGAGGAATTTTAGTTATTTTCCCATTTGTTCTAAAAAAAATTACCCTAATAAGAAAATTACACCCAAGCTACATTAATAATGGTACAAATTAAAATGTTCATAAGATTCAACACTTTAAATCATCCCTTTAAGATCTTGTTTGGGTATAATATTCACATATGTATATCACCAAGTAATATAATAAATACTAAAGAGAAAAATGTTGAAATTAAATGACTTTATTATTCATATTATATGAGTAGTTTTTCTCTTCTAGACCTTCTCTATTTTTCTCTTCTGAAGTAAAAATAATTATAAATTTCAATTACCTTCTTTGCATTGGAAGAAGGCAATGCCAATATGGCTATTACAAATTACCCTCACCGACACCAAGTACCAATTTGTCACATACTCTGAAAAATTGGGTAATGTCTCTGCAATCAGCATCCAATTTCTTAAACCCGGATGACATTGTCCGAGATATAAATGAATCACTTGATCATAGTGATCAAGAAAGAATGCCTGTGACCAATTACAGGAGAGAAGCAGAGATATAAGTACGAGTGAATGCTAATCTAATGCCAAAGCTTACTGCAGAACCCATTTCGTGGCTTCTTGCAAGATATGATGTCGGAGAAGGAGTCGACTAACTGTCCTGCCAAGCTACTAGGTTCGTCAATCAATGTTTGGATAAATGTATTGATTACCCTACGCTCTTGCTCTGATGATCTCAAGCTAAACCATGTTAGAAGTTTCAATCTAAAGTCTTGTTTAATGTGACCTTCACATTCCAGCCATCGAATTATCTTTACACAATACTTGAAGTTCTCGTCCAAGAAACATGAATCATTGGCTACTCGGAGTGGCGATTCATTTATCAAAGTGCTGTCACAATCATTCGTCTCTTCAATTGCGCTAGCTGCCCTTTTCCTACACAACCCCCCTGCGAGGGAATCAACAGCCGGTACCTCGCTATTTGGTCCACATGTCCAGACTTGAGAATCATCACTACCGTTTGATCTTGCCATGCCATTCTTCCCTATGTCATGGGAAGCAGCATCTCCATCTGCCTCAACAGCCTGCTGCACCGTGCAGCCATTAACTTCATCCTTAGAATATTCGAGAGGATGAGTTAGTTCTTCGTTCAGATCAGGTACAGAAACCACATTTAAATCAAGTCCACGAGAAATAGGAGGTAGCTGCTCTTCTTCCGGAGTTTCGGGCTTGACCGCGTTCTGCACTCCACGATAATTTGTCACATCAGCACTGCAAAGCCTCTCAAGACAACCTTCTCCTTGAGCCTTAGCAAGTTCCAGAATCTTTCCAAGATGTCGAACTTGAAATCCTAAAGATGAACAGATAATGGTTGTACTATCTGGACCCCTCTTGTGGATACTACTTTCTTCAATAGGACTTTCTTTCCTGGGATTTGAAGGGGCTGGAGAACGGGAGTTGTGAATTATTTCAACACTCTTTGTAAAACACTTGACCTCAGAGTTACCAACGTCACCATTCTCTGAATATGAAACAATTCTGAATGTGTATTCAGTGCATGGTTGTAGATTCGAAATCAAAATCCTTCTCTGAGTTCTAGGAAATATACATACAGGTTCTTTTGTGTATGCTTCTTCTCTACTCTTACTGTACCAAAGCTTGTAGCCTTTAGTCTCTTCAGATGATTCATTCGAAATTTCTACTAAAGTTATCACAATATAAGAAGACTCGATACCCTCAAAAAGAAACTTGCAAGCAGCGGGAAGTGAATCTTCTGTCAAAAATAAAATTAAAGCTAATGAGATTTATTTAGAATAGTTGGAGGGCTAGAAACATAATGGCCATGGACCAAACCTCTGCAATTCAGATTAGGATTGGACACTGTAGCCAGCCATTGATCTGCTTTTTCAATTGCGAGTGAGCAAAGCTTATGCACATCACCAGCAACGGTGAGCCTGCAGACAATACCACGAGCCATCTTGGCAGAAATCCCATTTACTGGACCCACTTCTGCTTCTAGCTTGGCCTTTGCATCTTGAATAATTTCGTGCAGTTCCTTAAACCTTGAAGTCCTTTCAAGGAGCCTGTAACTTAAATAAATCCTATAACAGAGAACATCAACACGACGTGCATCTCTTGCTATAGCTAGTTGTTTCTTCCAGCATCTGCCAGAATAGAATTCACAATTCAATCAGGCGGTACCTAAAATAATATCATTAACTATGCAACAACACCTCTCTGAAGCTTGAGAGCGCAAAATTATGCAAAATAAGAGGATCAAAGGAAACATTGGGTGAAAATATTACTTACTCTAGTATCCCAGAAACTTTGCCACAAGAAGCACAGCAGTAACTACCATCTAGCTGCATTAGTTGCCAAAGATCAACAACCCCCACCTTCCCATGTTGCAATGCACACTCAATATGGCAAGATAATCCACAGGAATCTCCCTGTTCAGATTCAGTAGAGCAAACCAACCAGAGACTAGGGTCCTTGTTGTCATCAAACAAGTGACAGATACAGCAAGAGCACCTCCTGCAAAATGTATCACCTACTGACAAAACAGCTCTACAGGCAGAATTTTTGCATACCCATGTACATGAGATTCCAGAATGTGGACATTGCTCAGGAGCTGTTGGCATTCGCGTCGGGTTTTCTATCTTCCTATGATGCTTCCTACTAGCAGACCGGTTATTTAAACTGGATGAAGTTTTCTTCATCTCCAGTTTGTTAACCATTCCTCTGCTCGCCTTTGGAAGCTCAAACATTTAACTTCTAGAATGATTGGTCCGACTTCTCCTTGTTAAGACATGATCAGAATGCTCAACAAATTCATCATTCCAACCATGAATTCAGAAACCTACAGAAAAGTTCTTGACCAGTTCAATATCACCTAAAAGCTTATTTTCTCTGCAGCTCTACGCATCAGGGCTATGAACGCCAAAACTCGATTGAAGAATATAAACAAGTTACAACTTGCAATACTTAAAATGACATACTACAAACCAACTATTAAGTCCTATAGAAAAACGATGTCAGTCGGGTTCCAAGAGGAACAACGACCAGAAGAGAAAAGTTTTTCCACGCACAGAAGTATTTCTTTTCCACCATTCTCTCGAAAATTACTGTTGAATTACCATGACAAACGACACATTACCTTCATCAAACAATCTCCCCCACCACTTTATATTATATGACAACAATACACAATATATACATATATATACATGTAGCCGCAAGAAGCGAAGTAAAGTTGAAAATAACACGTGTGAAATTTTGACAAACACATTGAGCAAATCTAGAAACCAATAATAGCCGAACAACGAGGATACTGATTATAGGGAATTAAACAGAAAAAGTACATGTATATCAACGTTACGTAATACTGAAACAATACGAATAAAAAATTTGAAAAAAAAAAAAAGAAAGGAAAAAATACTCAACCGAGAAGAAAGCTCGAAAAACAACGGATCTGCCACAGAAACAGCGCCAAGGAGCGAACGAAATCGTTTGAATGAAACGATGAAAGCAGAAGAGAAATATTCGGAACGACGAATGGTGACGAATCTAGGGCTTCGATGCGCCGAAGCCGAATAATTTGTTCTGAGCGAGCATGAAGCTAGGGAGAGAAAGAGGAAGAAGGAGGGGAGAGAGAGAGAGAGAGAGAGAAGGCGTTCGTTGGTTTGGAGAGAGAAGGAAGCTTGTACGAAATATATTCACGTTATGGGAGAGAGTGAAAAAAACGTAAAAAGAGAAGCGCGTGAACCTACTGGAATACACTTCTGGTTACGAGCGAGCAGATAAAGTACATATGCCCGCCCTTGCATTGAATCACAATTGAATTGAGGGAGTGAACCCATTCGCGGTTTTTGGCGCGTGATTTTCACTTCGTTATTAAAAATTCCAATTTATTTACTGTTATATTTTCGCTTTAATCAAATTTGTTGGAAACCCAACGTGGAAGACAAAATAGCAGTCTGTCTGGTCATCATCAGCATCACCCTCGACGCTGCTGCACCACCGGATCAAAATCCGACCGTCCAATCGGATGACTCGAATATTTAATCATGTTACATTAAATTAAAATAAATAAATAAATTATTTAATCCGGTTGACAAAAATTTTTTTAGCCATAAAAAGAAGACTTGGCTTTGCATTTACAGTAACCGTCGTCTTCAATTCCTTGGCTTTTTGGGTGATTTAGGTGTGAACTTAGAAAAATCAGTGGGCGGATGGTGAAGAATAAAAATCCCCTAAATCAAAAAGTATTCTCACTTTAAATCGACCAAATGAAATGAACCCATTTATGTTTTATGTTCCACCCCACTTTCATTTGGATTAGGTATGTTTTTATCATAATACTAGACAAAAAGAACGTGTAAAAGGTGTAAGGGGTTAAAAGGGTAGATAGTTTGGTGGAAAGGAGGCAGGGGCATGATTGGTTGATAAAAGTGGTGAAGAACCGACAACAAGGCAATCTGAAATGAGGACATCTTTTGGATGATATTTAGAAGATGTAATTATGGGTTTCTTCTTGGGAATCGATGCTAAACAAAATTAAAATCAAAGGGGAATTGATTGGGTAATGAGCGGAGACGACTGGGCTGTGCTTTGTCGTGTCGTGTGTGGTGGAAACTGAAAAAGAAAGGAGATACGGGTCAAGGTGGATAATATCTACTAAACTTTGGCTGATTCAAATATTAACCGAGATCGAGATAGAATATTGATCGGCTCATTATCAAGCACTGAACAAACCTTATTAATCAAAAGAGAGTATCAATCCAGAACTAGAAGAAGCAAGAGTTAACATATACAGAGTACAGGCAGATACACAGCCAGAATAATTAGTAGGTTCACATTTCAGTTTAAAGAGGCAACATAATATGATATGCATTATCCACTAAGTTCATCTATGCTTCAAGTGAATGAATACCCTGCACAAAACCAAAATACCAATTAAATTACAGATCCTATTATATATTCTGCACTTTAACAAGTCAAGCTAATTAGATATTTAAAAAGCAAATGAAACAAAGTTGAGGAATCTGCTTTTTTGCAAAGAAATCAAGAACCAGACAAACGAGAATTCACTCGTTTTGTTATGAGCACAATGAAGATAGCTAAAGATCACAGCATGGCCGGTCAAATACATTAAAGAAACACGACTCCAGCTAAAAGGTTCTTTGGTAAAAGGTATATTGGGGCTACAAGATAGCTTTTCTAGAACCTGAGAATGACAATGTGCATTCAGAAAATAATCTATGTTATATGCCTGCAATGCAAGCAAATTAAAGCTATTCACATCCTCTACTTTTCTTTCTTCTATCAAAGATCTGAGTATCAGACCATTCAACCTCGGGGATGGTTCTTCTAATGGTGTTTTTTTCTTTGTCCAACCAAATAGATCTTAGGGAACAGTAGCTTTAAAGTCTAGAATCATACAACTACTTCTACATTCAACTTCCTATTCCATCGCTCTCTCTAGCTCAACCTTTTTTCCCCCTTACCTAAGAATCATCTTTCTGTTTGTTTTATGTCTATAGGTCCTTGATTATGTCAGCTTACTAGCAACGTCATTTGAAATCCATAGGTGACAAGGTCCTATTCATAATAATAAATACTTCTATAACAGTCCGACCCCACTGCTAGTAGATATTATCCGTTTTGGTCTGTTACATATCACCATCAGCCTCACGGTTTTAAAATGCGTCTGATAGAGAGAGGTTTTTACACTGGAATGTTTCGTTCCCCTTCCCAACCGATGTGAGATCTCACAGTCCACCCCTTTGGGAGCCAGCGTCTAGCACACCCCCGATGACCAACTTTAATACCATTTGTAACAGCCAACCACACCGCTAGCAGATATTGTCCACTCTGGCCCATTACGTATAGCCATTAGCCTCACAGTTCTAAAACGCGTCTGCTAGGGAGAGGTTTCCACACCCTTATAAGGAAAGTTTCCCCCTCTCCGATGTGAGATCTCACAACTTCCTAGTCAAAAATGGATTTTGCTGGCTAGCCCTCTTGGTTGGACATATTTTTTGGCCTAATGTGCAACAAAATCGCCTACATCACCAATGCCTTAATATCTTATAATAAGACGGGTTTTGTCATTGTATGGTTGTCCTTAATGGCTTCTGTTCTTGTTAAACTCCCTCCTTTTCAGAATCCAAATTGCAACGCCATCACCTTTTCAACCACAGAACGCCAAGTTGTTAGATCCAAAAATAGATAAAGATCCTATTCATCAATGAAGCCGATTCAACAAAGGCCATCCGGTTACTTCAATGCTTAAAAATTATTGCCAAAACTAGCCAGCTGCCAATAATATATATATTTACAAGGTGATCCAGCAGATGTTACACAAGGAGAAAGTTTCCATTCCGCAACGTCTGGAAACTATGATTTTTTCTTTTTTACATCATTATAAATTCTGGGATTCTTAGCAGAAAACATTATATATTTAACCTCTCAAATTAGTCAATGTGTAATCAAGAAAACCTTGAATTAGGAACGATATGAATATGGAAGGAAAATACAGATTCTGTTCAGAATTCGTGAATATAGAAGATAACTAGAATCCAATCCAGTTAAAAAGGAAGACGTTAGAAAATTTAAACCAGTATCATCGTCCCATTTCTGCAGAATTTAATCCAGAGACAATGCTTTCAAAATTAGATAAAAAGTCTCATTCACATGCATGTATCCCTATCCAATCCAGAATTACTCCTAATTTTTTAATTCTAACAGTGGAATTGGCCGTAAAAGATGCAGAGAGCAGAATATTGAAGAAACCCGAACCTCTTACGAAGAAGACCGACGCCCTTCACACACTGGGCTCTCGTTGAAACTCTTGGACGGATACTTAGCGGTGATCACCCCAACCTCGAAGACCAAATCCTCGCCGGTGGACCTAATACCAGTAATCGACCACCACTGGAACAAAGCACGAACTCGAATCCCGTCGAGATTGTGGATCCGACCCTTTGCAATCTTACCAGTGACAACCCTAGAAAACGAAGCCACGTAGTTGTCCGGTGGAAGCGTGAACTTGCACGAGTCGCCGAGGTCCAAAGAGAAGTCACCAGAGGTTTCATTGATGGTGTAGCTGGAGACGGCGGACGGCAGAAGGCCAAACGGAAACCCGTAATTGGCGAGGCGAGCGTGGGCAGAGGAGGGTGGCGCTTTTAGGTCATTCGAATCGGTGGATTGGGTCGAAAGAGAAACGAGAGCTGAGAAGAGAAAAAGAACGAAGATGGATTTCATGGTGAACTTCTTGTAGTTCCGATCGTCCTCGGAATCAAACCAAACGTTGTTTCAGATTTTACAAATTTCTGAGATTTTTCTTTCTTTCTTCTTCTTCCGAGTTATTGACCAGTCGTGATGGATACGTCACTGTTCTCTCTTCCACAAACGATATCCCGATGGCGATGAAAAACTTTGACCTGTTAAACGACGTCGTGGCATTGACTATTTATATTCAATTATTTTCATACAAGATATTTCTCTCATTATCTAAACAAATTGCAACATTTATATTTCAAATTTTTTTTATTTTATTTTAGTTATCATTAAATTTCTTCTTAGGTATAATTTTTTTATTTTATGATATTTTAGTCCATCAACTAAACTTGATTCTTTTTACATTGACTTTAAAGTTTGGCTATGCAACCGTCTAAATCCATCGCCTACATATATTGTGCTATTTTAATTTTTCTTAAGTTTTTTAAATGGGTATGTGAGAGGTTTCCACACACCGATAGATATGTGATCTCAAAATTCACCTCATTCGAAGCTAGTGTCCTTGCTGGTATCGCTTTGTGTCCACTCCCTTCGGGGATCAGCATCCTCTCACACATTGCCTAGTGTCTCAGTGTCCTCGTTGGTATCACTATGCGTCCACTCCCTTTGGGGATCAGCATCCTCTCGCACACTGCCCAGTGTCTCAGTGTCCTCGCTGGTATCGCTATGCATCCACTCCCTTCGAGGATCAGCATTCTCTCGCACACTGACCAGTGTTTTGCTATAATACCACATCTATTGAAGATGGAAACAAATCATTATTTTGTTTTAAAATTTTAAGAGGTAGCCCGAAATAGAAAGACAATAACCATACCGGTTTTAAAACTTTGAGAAGAAACCGAAATAGAAAGACAAAAAATGACAATATCTGCTAATTTGAACGTTACAAGTTATTTTAATATTTGAGTTGACATGTATAAATACTCATATTCCTATAAACAACATATAGAATAAAGAAATTAAAGACATAAAATTATTAATTTCTTGATATGCCAATAATGATCAAGCTAGCGAGGACTGCCAAAGCTGCGAGCTTTTGACTTTAGAAACGCTCTCCACCACTTCATACGGCAAAATGTCTCCAACAACGATCACCATCTTAGTCTCCAAGTCTACAGTGAACGACCTCACTCCTGCGTTCATTTCCCAAAGCAAATCTTCAAAAAAAAAAAAAATTAAAAAAAAAATTATATGATATGATATGATACCTTCCATCTTTGAAATGTGTTTCTCCACTTTTCTTGCACAGCCTTTACAGTGCATGGACACCCTGAGAGTCACCATCTACAAAACCAAACCTAACATAGTTACGGATCTGTGGGGCTAAGGAAGAAAGGGGGAAGTGGACACAAAACCGGACCATGGGCTTGAGTTCAAAGGCTAAGCTCTGGCTTCCATTCACACCGTCCTCCAATGTCGGGAGTTGGCCCTTGTTGCTGCTGGCTATGAGTGGGTCTTTGTCAAAACGAGCGGTGGAAGTACATGACGAGGGACCGAAACAATCCAGAGCCTTGGCGATTTTCTTCAGCTTCCCCATCAGAAAGCACTAAAATCTACCACAAATCAAGTGAATATCATAATTAATAAGAGCAGGGGGAGGGAGACAGAGTATATAAAGAAGCATTTGGTGACCAAAATGAGAGTAAATTATAATGCTAAAATAATGGCTTTGGGTTGCTGTTAAGTGGTAACCAACCGCAATAAGTGAACCAAACTGTAAAATTTTGAGGCTCATAATTCAACCCAAGATTTAAAATGAAAAAATAGTTTCTACTTGTAAATTATTGTGAGCAAATTTGAAAAAGTAAACAAGTGGATACTTGTAGCAGGAAATAAAATGAATGTTGGAGGTGAAGATAACAGTTAGAGCAGGAAGGAGGGAAAAAGCTATGGCTCTGGGCACCGCACGCCTGCGTGTGACGAGACATTTTGGGTTACAATAATTTGAGGCAGATGAGACAGTTTGGGCTACAATAATTTGGTTCAATTTGAACCATGTATGAGCATTAATATTATTACTGAGTCATTCTCAATTTGTATTTATTTAAACACAATTCAAGAAATTTTTTATTAACGATAGATTGTAGTTTAGAGTGCTCTTCAAACTGTGTAAACTTCTGTATCTCTTTATTAATTTATATTAGTGGATGTGTGAGTGTGATTGATCTTACTTCAGCTTTTACAGCAACAATCACTAGATCTATCCAAAAAAAAATAAAAAAAAAACATAATAAAATTGTTTTAAAATTGGAACTAGATTGTAAATTGTGTTTAAAATAAATTTGATCGATTATATTTTAAAATTGGCCATCTTTTTTAGGTCACGTGAGAAGCATGTGAGGATGGAATAGTTTTGGAAATTTAGTTGAGAAGGAAGAGAAGAAGCACTGAAGGAGAGGAGTCACATTATGCACGTGCGACTCACGTGAGTTTTGCGAACAAATATTAAAAGGCCTTCAAAATGTTATAAATCATTATTTCTTTCTTCATCTAAATCACGAGTTTTATAAATAAATAAAAAAATAGCATTTATTAAATTTTATCGTACATTTGAAAGCAAATGCTGAAAAAATAATTGTCAGAACAAATTTTCTAAGGTTTTAATGGTATAATTAATAAATGTTCGGCTTTAATAATATTAATGAAAGGAAACTAAATTTGTGGTCCAAAAAAATGGATAATGGAGGGTTTTTTTCCTTTTTTTTTTTTTTTTTTTCACTTTCTGCCTTATTGATTAAATACTTGGTCTTGACCTAATTTTGTGTCAGCAATTATTTCCATGTCTACACTTAAACTCTACTATGATACTAAATTTAATATGCATATTTAAATGGTGTGACAATTTTAATTAATTAAGGATTAAGCTTATCCACTACCGGGTAAATAAAGGCCCATTTTCAGACTGCAATTCGTGGCAGGGCAAGGCCCAAATACAGAATGAAACTGGCCCATATACTCTATAACTTAGGCCCAAATACAGAATGAAACTGGCCCATATACTATATAACTTAGCCTAAATTCTGACGTCTACTATAGTATTAGATAATGTATGATAATGACGATATTGTTTGCTTTGAGTATAGATAACATTCTTTATGATTATCCTCTTTAACCAAGTTAGAACTCCTAGAAAACAATAATGTAGTAGTGTTAATGAAGGTGTGGATTTGGGCCAGCTGTTCTAGCAACTAAGAAATAGATACGGTTAAATAATTAGGAAAATATGGATCATCTCATTTAAATAAATTAAATGTTATTTTACAAAGAAAACAATAAAATTTCTAATAATTCATGAGTCAAACACATTAGGTTTATTTACAGATTCATTTCTTAAATTCCAACAACAATTTCATTTAGGCAAAGGATGCAGGTTAGGTGAGCATTTCAACCCTTTATTAGGTCATATTTAATGGTATCCAGTTATGACATGTTATTTGATATGTTTTTTATGAAACAGGTGACATTAATATATGATCTTGCTACATCGTTCTTTTTTATTACTGTCACTGTCGAATAATTCAATTTATTACGTATCAACATGTATATATATATTTTTTTAAAATTTTTTTTTTACATATTAATTAATTACCATGTCAACTATTTTAGTGATTTGAACCAAATGAAAATAATTATAATAATAAAATAGAAGTAGAAGGAGTTGGGTGAATTTAAGATGGGGCCATTGAGATTCAGGTCCATGTTACTGGGGATCAGTGGTCTGTCTACACTGGGTCCTACTAGATTCTGCCTTTTTTTTTTAATAAACAAAAATTTCAAAATCCTATTAAAAAAATTAATTTCCATGAAATTTGGAAGCAAAAATGAAAGATGTAACTGGAACAGAATGTATAGGAAACCCAAAAGGAATACTAAATATGATATAGATTTAGATTTAGATTAAGATGATAATACAAACTCAAAAACCAAAAGAAGAGAAGCGGAGGTTTTGTTGAATTTATACAGACTAAAACAAGATCCACGCCGATGTAAAAACCAAATATAGAGGGCAAACACTTGAGCTTCCTTTTTCTTTCTCCGTGGGCGATGAGAGTTGGGAGAAGAATTGACCAGATTGAAGCTCAAAAGGGGAAATTGCAGGTGGGATTTTTGTGACGAATTAATTAATATAAGGGTGGTGGCGGAGGAGACGCGTATGGAACTCCGTAGATTGGTGGCAGGGGACCTCCGTATACAGGGCTTGGAGGCGGTGGGGGCGATGGAGACGGCGGTGGTGGGGAATTGTAGGGAATCGAAGACGATGGTGTTGGCGGTGGTTCTGAGTATTGAGTATCTGGTGGGGGAGGTGGAGGAGGTTGTATGCAAGGAAGAGGAAGCGGCGATGGCGATGTATAAACAGGGGAAGGGGGAGAATGAACAGGTAATGGCGGCGGAGGGGAGGTGGGGTGTTGGAGAGGTGGGTTTGGGGAGTAGGATGGAGGAGATGGTGGATATGGGGAGCGGGGACAGTAGACAGGAGGTTGTGTGGATGGCGGCGAAGGGAAATCAGGGAAATGTGGCGGAGGCGGAGCGTGAACTGGGAGTGATGGTGCTGGTGGTGATGATGCTACTGGAGGAGAAAGCTTGACCGGCGGATTGTGGACTTGTGGCGGTGATGGAGGTGCAGGTCCGGATGGTGAAGGAGGAATGGCTGGAGTGTGACCTGTAGGCGGCGTTGAAGGTGACGGTTCGGACGGCGAGGGAGTTGGCGGAGAGTGATCTTGTGGCGGCGATGATGGCGGTTCGGATGAAGAAGGTGGACCCGGAGGAGTATGGCCGTGGGGTGGTGAGGATGGTAAGGGCTCAGACGGCGGAGGTAATGCCGGCGGCGGATGACCTTTTGGGGGAGATAAGGGTGAGGGTAATGACGGTGGAGCATGACCTTGAGGCGGCGTTGAAGGGGTTGTCGGTGAAGACGATGAGGAAGGCGAAGGTGGTCCCGGGGGAGTATGGCCGTGGGGTGGTGAAGATGGTAAGGGTTCAGACGGCGGAGGTAATGCCGGCGGTGGATGACCTTTTGGGGGCGAGAAGGGTGAGGGTAATGACGGCGGCGCATGATCTTGAGGCGGCGTTGAAGGGGTTGTAGGTGTAGATGGAGAGGAAGGCGAAGGTGGACCCGGCGGAGTATGGCCGTGGGGTGGTGAGGATGGTAAGGGATCAGTCGGCGGAGGTAATGCCGGCGGAAAAAGACCTTTAGGGGGCGATAAGGGTGAGGGTAATGACGGCGGAGCATGACCTTGAGGCGGCGTTGAAGGGGTTGTAGGTGTAGACGGAGAGGAAGGTGACGGCGGAGAAGAAACCAATGGCGGTGCCGACGGTGGCGAATGTGGCGACAGAGGAGGAAAATGGGGCGAGAGCGGCGGCGATGGAGGAGACACCTCCCCTGCCGGTGACGGAGGTGAAGAGGGCGAAACAACCGGCGGAGTAAATGGAGTAGAAGGCGAAACAGAAGAAGCACGGCATTTAAACGCATTACAATCAACACGCCGCAAAAAGAACGCCTTACATTGACCACTCGGCCGCTGCGCTGGCCGCCCAGTCAAGCAATTCCTCCGATCACTGAAATCCGGAACCCTCAAACACGTCTGCGGCTCACCGGAGAAGAAGTTATTCGAGAACGTAAAGTTCTGAAGCTTAGGCAAATCACAAATACTCTCCGGAATCGTCCCAGAAAGAAAATTATTCGCCACACTGAGTTGCTCCAAACTCGCAAGCCCTCCAAATGTCTCCGGCAACGGACCCACCAGCTCATTGGAACTTACATCGAACACCGTCAAGTTCTTCAACGCCCCAATTTCGGGCGGCAAGCAAGAATTAAGCCCATTGTTCATCATAATGATCTCATTCAGCCTCGTCATGTTGCCCAAGCTCGAAGGCACACACCCATGGAACTTATTGTTCCCAAGAACAATGACCGACACCGGCGAATTTCCAAAATTATCAGGCAGTTCGAATCTGAATCTGTTGTGGTTAATAAAAATGGCGTCTAAATCCTTATCGAACAGCTCTCTGGGTACATTTCCTTCGAATTCGTTAAACCTCAGATCCAAAAACTTGAGCGCCGGAAGCTTGAGAACCACGCCGGGGAACTTCCCAGCGAGCCGGTTATTACTGAGATCCAATTCGTGTAGCAACTTGAGACGATCAAATCTGTGGGGTAAAGTGCCGCAGAATCTGTTTGAATTGATATGGAACAATGCAAGATCCACAAGCAAACCGAGCTCTTCAGGGAGGTATCCGGCAATGTCGCCGTGGTTGAGATCGATTCCAGCGACGGTACGGATGTTGGGGTCGTCCAATGCGGGAGCACAGTAAACGCCGAAGTAGCTGCAGACGTCAGATCCGACCCAATTGGCGGTTTGATTGAAAGGGTCAGACAAAATGGCTAGTTTCCAAGCCTGAAGTGCAATGTAAGCATTTCTAATCCTCCCGTTTTCGAAAACCAGAGATGGGTCCACAGTGACTTCTTCGCCACGGTCACCAAACTCGTCTCTGTAGTACAGAAGCTGGCGGTGGCGGATGTAGAGAGCTTCCGCGTCAGAGAGGCTGCCATGGCTGACGGCGGGGAGGGCGGTGGGGAGGCGGAGGAATGCGGGAAGGAAGAGGAGGAGGAGGAGGGGTGAGATGTTGAAATGGGAGTTGGGATTCATGTGGAATGAGGCTCTGAAATTGAAAGTGTAGTGGAGTGTGATTTTAGTGACACCGTCCTTTGCTCTGTTCCTATTTTTCTAGTTATTATTTATTTTTCAGTCTTAAATTAGTATATTTTAAGAACAAAAATATACTTTTTAAAAAAACGTACAGTAAGCCCATCATTGGCCCAATTAAGATATTTCAATGGTCGGCCCAAAACATGCTATTTCAATGCTTGGCCCAATTATGCTATTTCAATGCTTGGCCCAAAACACAAGCCCAACTGAGAAAATACATTATATAATTATTGCAGATTCAAATTCCTGTGCATAAGCTAATGGAACTTTCACCACTTCCATCCGTTTGCTTTAATTTGGGAACCAAATCTCTGCACCTTTCCACTCCATCGTCTACCGACAAATAAATGTTCTCTTTCCCGATTGTTTCTGTGAAATCCGAAGCTATCATCTTCTCCATCACTACTATTCTTGGGTTTATAATTCCCATCTGTTCATCATCAAATATCGATTTCATTAATTTTCTAGATGCTTTGCAGAGGAAATGGATTGGTGGGGCACTGCGAAATTACCTGGATTCCGTTTGCTTGTAATGATCTGCGGATTTCAACTAGAGTTTCGATCCCTGTCATGTCGATGGAGGTAACTCCTGTACAAACAACCAAAACTCAGTAATGGGTCAAATTCATTCTGGACTGAATTATCGGTTTTTATCGCTTATTACCGCTCAACTCCAGCAGTACATGTTCGACGGATCCATCGTTGGTATCAGATATGGTCTGCTCATCACGAACCCATCTGAAAATCCTATTGAAAAACCACAAGATTCGGACTGGTTAATCAAAGGCGTCATACTTGCGCCTAAACTGTTTGATAAAATGCGCAAATGAACTTTTACATTACCTTTCTCTGATGTAGTTGGCGTTGGCGTAATAAACAGGGGAACCAAGTTGAAGAACAATAATTCCAGGGGTTCTTGTTGCATTTGGGTACTGTTCCACGTCTCTATACAAACTGGAGTTTGTTATTTTCCCGAGTTTGCAAGTGGCTGGTCTAGCCATGTAAAGCAGAGCTCTCAGCAAAGCAAGTCCCACCTGATAAAAGAAGTCATAACAAATAAGGAAAGACGAGGCTTTGAAACTTCCTTTGGTTATGTTATGAATATAATTCACTGACCGAAAGCATGATGCCAACGTCCATGCTTAAGAGGGCAACGCCCAAGAAAGCCGCCATACATATGCAGAAATCAAACTTGTCGACCTTGAGAAGATGATACATTTCTTCATACTTGATGAGACCAAACATGGCGGACATGATAATGGCGGAAAGGGTTACAAGAGGTGTGTAGCTAAAGAGAGGAGCTAGAAAGAGGAGGGTGAAAGCCATGAAGATCGCCATGACTATGTTTGACATGGCTGTCCTACACCCAGCATTGAAGTTCACTGCAGTCTTTGAGAATGGCCCTGAAAAAAGATAAGTCATTTCATTTGATCAATTATTGTTCATAATCTAACTGATATAATGAATAGTTTATATCACCAGTGGTTAGGTAGCAGGAAGTGAAAGATCCGAGGATGTTCATTAAACCAAAGGCTACCATCTCCTTGTTCCCATCGATTTGTTCATTTTTCATGATTGCAAAGCTCCGACCAATTGCTATTCCTTCCTGAGGCGATGATAATGAAGATTAGAGAAGATGAATTTTGAGAGAAAAACGAAAAAGGGAGAGATCCAAGAAGTTACAGCCAAAGCCACAAGGGCAGTGATCAAGCCAGTTTGTACGACAACTGATATATATTTGGAGTCGAAGTTGAGGAAGTGAATGGAAACAGGGTTTATTCCTTTGCTCAAGTGACCCACCTGTTCGGTGATACCAACTGGGTTATTACATCATAATCAAAAGAAGCTAAGAAAAGTCTCCAAATAGTGAAAAAGTAATGATCATACAGTTAAGATTCCATGCTGACTTCCATTGATGAAATAAGCAAACAAACACCCGACTACCACTGTTACCATGGGAGCCATCGCTGACACCCAGAATAGCTTGGGGTTTCTGTTTCTCTGTTTAACCACAAAAAAAAACCATTTTAGAGAAAGATATTTGGATGGTGGGAAGGAGTGCCACCTTGGCTAACTAAAAATAATCATGAGTTTATAAATAAGGACTACATCTCTCTATCTAAGGTTTTTTTTAGGGAAGCACAAAGCATCGTGTAGAGCCGTGATTCTTAATATGGCCATGTCAAACAAAAAAGTTGTAAGTCTCGATGGTGTAGTAAAAATTGACTCAAATGTCGAACAAATGGTGGTGCAGAAAATGAGTAAGCCTTGATTAAGGAGAGGTTGTTCGAAAGTTCCATAGGTCTGAAGGGAGAAGGTGTATAGTATATTTTGTTCGAACTAATAAATCTCGAGGATTGTGGGGCCACCTTCGGCTAATCCTCTCTTATTCCTAAGAAAAGATAGAGAAGAGAGAGAAAAGTTGCTTACCAGGAACCTTGTAAACTGAAGGAATAGAAGGAAGACGATGCCGACGACAGCACTTTGCCATTTCCACTGCAGCCAAACAAAGGATACGAAACAACAAGAAAAGTTAACGTTTTAGAGGTGAAGCTGAACTGAAAAGAAAATATAAAAGGAAGAAACAAACCAACCTCATTTGTACGGGTGAACACTGCGTGAAGTACCGAAAAAACGTCAGTTTTAGAGGTGAAATGAGTGAGTCCAAGCATGCCTTTCAGCTGTTGCAGGGAAATGATCACAGCCGTCCCTCCCATAAACCCGAGTATTGTCGAGTGCGATAAGAAATCTACCAAAATTCCCAGTCTGCTCATCGAAAAACCAACTCAAACGATCAAAAATTGGATTTTTATAAATTGAGTTCACATTTTGAATTGTGGGGTCGAGTTGGGTCGCACCGTAGAAAGCCTAAGGTGGCCTGAAAGACGCCGGTAACAAGGGTGGCGGTGAAAACCAAGTGGAGATACAATGTGGGTTCTTCTTCCGGGGACGCCACTCGTCCGATGATTTGCGAAATGAGCAAGGAACATGCGGCCACTGTCCCCACCGCCAGATGCTTGGAGCTTCCAAACACTGCATATACAAGTGGAGGAACGAAGCTGGAATCTGACAATATCATACAATTGTGGAGAGTCATTATTCAAATTACTCTAATTAGGCAACCACGTTTAAAATTAGGGAATTAGGGAAGGGGAATGGGACTCACAAAGGCCAATGATGGGAGGGAGAGTGGCGAGCTTGGCGTAACTGATGCCTTGGGGAATAGCGAGGCTGGTAATGGTAATACCAGCAAGCAAATCATACTTAAACATACTCAAGTTGTATTTAGGAAGCCATTCCAATATGGGAACGAAATACTTGAGGACCTTTTTCACTCGCTGCACAGCCCCTCCGCCATCTCCAAACTGCCTGAACGGATCATCAGGGAAAAACGTCTCTTTGAGATCCGATTTCAGCCTCTTCCCAAACGCCCTCGGAGCAGCAAAGCTCACATTTTGATCACTTTTGAAGGAACCCATTAGAACAAACCCAACAATTAGTGAATAATTGAAGTGATTGGGGTGAATTGAATGAAGAGAGTTATTATATAGAGGGGATGTTTAGTGGAGAATGATAAGAGGATGAGAGGGCGATGATGGTAAATGGATAAGACAGAACAATGGATCGGAAGTGGCAGGAACTATTCGAGTGTGTTTCTATTTAGACCCATTTGGAATTGGGAACAGGCATAATTAAGGTTTGGCTTTTGGGTGTTCCTCAAACTTGTCAAAAACGTTTGAACCACTATGCCTGTTTTGTGACAGTCTTGGTTGTTGGGATATGGAACTATTTATAGTGAAGATTTGTTGAGATAACTGTAGATATTTAGTAAATATATATCATGAGTGGTCAAAATGTTCTTTTTACCCGTCATCAATAAAACCTTTGACTAATATTCATCTTATTTATGTTCATCCTTATCCAGTGTGTGAGCATCCTATCCTTATCTATATTACTTGTCTATATTGAGTGTCTGAGTTGTTATACTATTAAACTGAGAAGATCCATGGAATGTCTTGGCTCGAAAATACTAAAATTTACAAATTTCCATGCAAATGTCAAGTTAACTTTTAGTTGTTGTGATTAATAAGCACTAACTTCGGAGGATGGGAGGAATAATAAATTTAAATGCAAAAAGGACAAAAAGGGTTTTGAAATTTGAGTGCCAAAAGGGAAGAACATAAACCTTTTGAATTTCTCTTTTATATATACTTCATTAGTTTATTTGTATTGTAACATTTATATATTATTATAAAGGAACAAAAATTGGATTTTAGTACTTAATAACCAATAAAATCTTGGAGATATTAATTAAAGACGACCCTAAAGAAAGATAAGACAAAGTAACACCAACCCACTCGATAAATTTATCTTTTTGTGCAGTAATAAAAGAAAAACAAGAACGAAAATTTATAAAAAGTTTCCATGTTTGAATTCCTTTACAAAGGGACTCAATTAGACCTCCTTTGTTTATGAACCCTAATCTTCAATTTGAATTCCCACCATCGTTGATTGAATGGACTTCCATGATCTTATTCAATCAAGTGGGGAGCATAATAATTATAAACACCCTCTCCTCATTTACACACAACTTTCTTCATCTCTCAACAACAATTAGAATCCAAATCCATATGAATTCAATTATATTGAGAAAGAATTATTCAGTAATTTCGTCCATTGGCCAAAAGGATGGAGAAATTTTGGTTGGTAAGATACTAAAACAATTAGTCAATGGGGGAAAAAGGGAAGAATGTCACCTCTTGACAAGGCTCATGCGTGGCTTCCATTACCTCCTTCAACAAAAACACCCTCATATCACTAATACATTTTTAGGGTTTCGGGTTTGAAAACAAACCGTTTCGCACGTAACAATGACGATGACGATCGAAAAGGCTTCAAAAATTTTAAATTTAGCAGTAATTAACGTATAGTATTAGCAGGGAGGGTTTCGAACGCAAAATTGTATGTCGTCGAGTAAAAGAAAGGGTTAGAAAGTATTTGAAGACGGGTTAAGAATGGGGTATAAGTAACCCTTGGGGATGGCCTTTGGTGGGTGGAAAAGACAGAATTTGGGGTGTGAAGTGGGATGAATGAAGAAGCAAAACTCCACAGAGATTTATTGGAGGAACAATTATAGTTGGGTTAAGCAGTAGTCTTCCTTTATAAGATTAAAGAGTGAATTATTGGGAAGAAATTATGAAATTTTTGCATCCATCATCACCAACTCGAAATAGATATGTATAAAATAAGAATGATTTGATAGCATAAGGCTTTGTTTTGCTGATGCATAATTACTTTCATGCATTCCATCTTAAACTCATTGGTAATACAAATTTCTCCATTTTTGTAGGAATGAAAATTAGTAATTATAATTTTATTGGTTAGTTTATGCTCAAATTGGAAAAAAAAATAGAATTAAGAAAGAAGATTAGATTTAAGTATCCATAATAGATCTTCCACTCGTGATAATGAACAATATATTATGTCTTTTAATCATATTATTCAATTATTTTGTCATTCTTTATTGATCACATCCATTAAATAACCACCATAGATTTTTTTTTTTTTTTTTTTTTTTTTGGAACTTGAAGACTTTGTACAATGATTAGGTCAGCAAATTCGAAATCATATTCTAAGGAAGATGCGAAGAAACCGTTCAAATGATCACAAGTCATGTTAAAGAAGAATGAAGCTTTTATATCTTGGATTGTTACAAATTTTGAGGCGATGTAAAGCCATGCATATTATTTTTAGAGTGAGAATTGGAAAATATAGTAAAAAGAACATTTTTGCTTTTCTTTCGTCGAGGGCTAAGTTTCGTTGCCATTATATAGGGTTTAGAATTATTCAAATTTGATATGATCGATCTTGTTTGTAGAGTGATTCAAATCTTAAACAATTATTCTTACCTTGAGATATGTAATCAATAAAGTAATTTAAATTTTACTCCTATTCGATTGATTTTTTAACATTTGGTATCGAGAGGGTAGAGTTGTTAAATTCATGAAAGTGGATAAGATTTGAAGCTTGGGATTGAGAGATTAAAAAATAAGCGATTTTAGGGTTTAGTGTATATATTATTTGAGAAAAGGATTAGAAGCCCTCGATATGAAAGAGGCCCAAAGAGGGCCCATTATTAGGCGAAAGAAGCCCAAAGAGGGCCCATTATTAGGCGAAAGAAGCCCAAAGAGGGCCCATTATTGGGGTAAGGCAATTTCAGAACAAAAATTATATATTTTAATTAGGAAGATTATAAGGAGCCCAATTCATTTATTTAGAAAACCAATGTATATATTTTATAACGTGACCACCATTCATTATGGGTTGCTTGTGGGCACTATATCTGATGTCCTGGAGGTTGTGGGTACAAGACTTGATGTCGGCGATGCTACTTGGGGCTATGGATTCGTGGTGGCTCATCTCTTTGTCCTATGTTTCTTATGGGTACTACAACGTACTACATCTGACGTTGTTCGTACTCACCGACTATGCTACAATTGACTATAGGGAGATGTGAATGATATGATATGGTCTAGCTCTCGCGCTTGTAGCTTTGCTTTTAGCTTTTCTAAAAATCCTGATTGATGATCCCTTAATTAGTCAATGTGAGACTCTCACTCAACCATCCTCAACAAATGACTCCTAGGATAGGAGAATAAGTTAGTGAGTTTGGAGTTGTTTTGAGAAGAAAAATGGGTGAAAGAGGTGATCGAACAATTCTTATTCCTAAATATTTAAAAAGAGACAATATTATAAGTTACGAAAGAATAATGAAGTAAGACATTAATAACATATAAATTGACAAGTAAACTAATTAGTATTTAATTGAGAAGACACAAATAAATTATCATAATAAATAAACAAGTAGCTAACAATAAGATAAAAAAAGGGGTCAGTATTATTCTAATAATCTTTTGCATTCATTTTATAAATAAGTTTGAGCTATACATTATTAGTAAATGCAAGCGCAAGAAGCAAAAGGTACAAGGGGAGGGGGAGTTGGTATTGAGGCGTCGTAAACTAGTATGGCGCGCGCGCGCCCACAATGCGTGTAAGAATGAATCAAAGCCAAGGAGAATTAACCAAAGGAGTGACGACGGCTTTGGTTTGAAGATACTTATGGATAGCCTGCATTCCAGAGTCTCTCCCGAACCCACTCGCCTTATACCCTCCGAACGGGCAGCTCGAGTCGAAAGCAAAGTAACAATTTAGCCAAATGGTACCCGCTCGGATGGACCTGGACACCGTGTTGGCTATGTCTATGTTGTTCGTTACTATCCCAGCTGCCAGCCCGTACTTGGTGTTGTTTGCGCTCCTTATTCCCTCTTCAATCGTCCTGTCAAAACAAAACTCGTAATAAATTCAAACTCTGATATATACTTAAACCATTCCCACAAAAAGATCGTGTTTTTACTTGAATTTTATGACGGACAGAACTGGCCCGAATATTTCATCCTGCGCAATCAGCGAGTCTTCCTGGGAATTCAATTACTATTCAGCATAATTGAAGATGATAATAACAGAGGGTGTAAAAAACAGAGGAAAATGCAGGACCTTGACGTCTGTGAAGATTGTGGGCTCTACGTAATACCCCACTTCGCCTATACGCTTGCCGCCTGTAACCAGCGTTGCTCCTTCTCTTTTACCGTGTTCTATGTACATCAGAATCTTATCCAGTTGCTTTTTGTCCACCTGCAGAATTTTCAGTCAGTGTCGTTGGTGGGAGTTACCCAAAACTCTGTTTATTAACTTGGCATCACCTGGGGTCCATAGTTAACTTTGGGATCAAAAGGGTCTCCCACCACCCAGGACTTGGCCTTTTCGCTAATCTTTTTGACGAATTCATCATAAATTCCTTCTTGAACCAGAACCCGGGAGCCGGCCACGCAGATTTCTCCCTGTACACCCATCAAAATTGAGGCATGTGGTTGACAGAGGCGCTGAAATTGTTGGCAAGGTTAAGAGTGGTTTACCTTGTTGTAAAAAATGGCGAGGAGAGCAAGATCGACGGCTTTGTTGATATCAGCATCATCGAAGATTAGAAGAGGGGATTTGCCTCCTAATTCCAATGACACTTGCTTCAGGTTACTGGCACTTGCGGCCTGCATTATCAACCTCCCCACCTTGGTTGATCCTGTGAAGCTCACCTGAAAAGCGTACCATTATTAATGAATCATCCTAACCCCATTTCTCTCGTGTTTCATGAGTTAGTGTTGAGGATTATTGAAAGGAGTAGTCTTACGTTGGCTAATTAAAAAAAATATCATGAGATATTATAAGTGGGAAACACTATTTTTCATTGGCACGAGGCATTTTGGGAAAACTAAAAGGAAAGTCATAAAAGTTTATTTTCAAAGTAGACTATTTTTCATTGGCACGAGGCATGGTTTGTTATTTTTAACATGGCATTAAAACCATGCTCTTAACTTAGCCATATCAATAGAATCTTCAAGAAGTTGCGAACTTTGAAGGTGTAGTAAAAAGTGACTCAAGTGTCGAACAAAGTACCATTTGTTCGAGGGCTCCAAAAAAGAAAAAGAGGAGGCTGCTTGAAGACTCCCTAGAACTCAGGGGAGACTCTATAATGTATTTTATTGAGGGATGATTGTTGAGAATTATTGAAAGGCTTCCTAGAACTCAGGGGAGACTCTATGATGTATTTTATTCTAGAGATGATTGTTAATAATTATTGAAAGGAGTAGTCTCACATTAACTGAATAAGAAAAAGATCATGAATTTATATTGTTACCTTGTCAATATCCATGTGTGATGCAATGCTGGACCCTGCGGTTGGTCCATATCCAGTCACAACGTTGAGTACTCCATCTGGAATGCCAGCCTAATATGCCACGTCAAAAAATCGAGATTAAAAAAAAAGGAAAAAAAAAACGTCCACATATGCTAGGTCATCCATCCACCACAATGTCAAAACCCAATTATTTTTTATAAAAGTCCAAAAAATCCTTTCCCGATATAAATCAGTCATTTTCATGCTAATTTTAATTCATTTAATTATTGCGATAAAAAAGAGAGGTAGAGAGACGCCGGACCAGTTTGGCGAGATGAGCGTAGAACAGGGCGGAGAGGGGCGTCTGTTCGGCGGGCTTGACGATCATGGTGCATCCGGCAGCCAACGCTGGGCTGACTTTCAACCAGAACATGGTCGTCGGAAAGTTCCACGGTATGATATGGCCCACCACTCCAATCGGCTCCAGTAACGTGTAGCCATGAAGCGGCCTTGACATTTTCAATATCTTGCCGTGAATTTTATCCGCTGCACCTGCGTAGTACCGCAGCGTATTTGCAGCCCCGGGTATATCCACTATTTTCCCCAGATGAAACGATTTTCCAGCGTCGATGGTATCCAACGCTGCCAGTTCCTCCACGTGTGCATCTATCAATTCCGCTAGTTTTGTCATTATCCTCCCCCTCTCCTGCACATTATTACCCAATAATCCAAAAACATTAACATGTCATTTTCTTTCAATTATTATTGGAAAATAAAAAATATAAAAGAAAATTGTCAGAGAAAATTGTAGAAGTTGTCGTCACTCAATGCTGGCCTGTAACTCTAGATCATATGCTAACCAAGACAATTTCACAAACACGTAACGCAATGCTACTGTTAAAATTAAATTAAATATTTAATCTAATTAATTATGTTTAAACTATAAATTATGACCGACATAGCAAAGTATTGGAATGGATATTAATTTGTAATTAAAAAAAAAAACTATTAATTTAAACTATAAATTTGAGGAGGATAAAGTGGGGGAAAAGGTATGAAGATGAACAAAAATAGAAATACTCACGGCGCCGGACATGCGTGGCCAAGGGCCATGATCGAAGGCCTCACGGGCGGCTTTCACGGCCAAATCCACGTCTTCTTTGTCCCCGGCGGCCACCGACGCGATAACCTCCCCTGTTCTTGGATCTATGGTCTCCAAAGTTTTTCCTGTTCATTTTTTATTTTCGAACAACACCCAAAAAAAGGAATTTAATAAAAATTCTTCGTAAAAACCCAGATAATCGGGTTGTCGGAAATTGGATTTTCCGACGGCGACAGGGAAATCTCCGACGACCCATATTTTTGAAGCAGAGAGAGACATATATATATATACCTGAAACAGAGTCAAGGAATTGTCCATTGATGAAAAGCTTTGTGAACTTGATTTTGGGTAAATTGAGCTGGGATTGAGAATTTCCATTGCAGTGATTCTCCTCCATCTTGGTATGTGTATCACTGTTGGTGTGAGTGTGGTTTGGATTGACGGAAATAGATATGAATTTGCAGAGAGGAGTGCGTGTGGTTTATAGGAGAAGCCAGAAGACAGCTTAAATAGGCAATTCTGCAGCGCAGCCAGAATGAAGGCAACAACATCTCCAGGCACTCCATGTGGGTCACTTTCATGACATTAATTTCAAACTGGACTTTCTTTTTTACTCTTTTCTTTTTTCAGGAAAAAACGCACCCACATGTGCATGTAATGTAAATGGTAATAATACTGTTCAAAATGAAGAAACTCTAATATTCAGGTTAAAAAGTTTTATCCGACATCTTTGAGTTAAAAAAATAAAGATGAAAGCTAAATGATAGTTATTATCTACAAACCAGCCGTGCACTCACCCAATTCCCAAGTGGACCCTAAAAATAGTCAATAAAATGTATCTCAAAACTATAGGATATACTCTAAACATATTGCCTATGCCACGTGTTCACAATTCTACATACGTGTCATCGCCACGTCTTCAATATGTTTGGCATGGAAAGAATCGAAAAAACGTAAGAAACTAGGACAAGACAGGGGACAGGGCTACAACTGACATTTCCAATAACCCCTGCGTTACTCTTACGTTGCTATTTACTCACATGTGTTAAATTGTATTTAAATTAGAAAGGAAGTTTTTAAATTGCTTTTATAATTTAATAAATGAATTTTAGCCACAATTAATTAATACTTTTTAAAATTTTAATTCTGTACTTAATACATCATAAAATCGAAACCTTTTCGTTTCAAATTTAATACTTCTATATATATATATATATATATAGGATGCTTTCATGTTTTAATTGAATTTGTATCATGTAGTTTGTAAGGAATATTTTTTAATTTAGTATTTCATGTTTTAATTATTTTTCAATCATATCCTTTGAATTTTGATTTTTCATGTCTACCTTAATTTTGTTCTTTAATTTTTAATTAAAAATGGTTAAAGCGCATGGAATTGTGTTGGTACTTTATAACATTACTTATTAAATTGAAAATAAAAATAAAAATAAATACATAATTAATTAGGTAGACTTAATTATGGTTGAAACCTAGTTTGCATTTAATATTTTAAGAGTAATGTCTCAACTGTTTATAATAAAGATTAGACTTTTAACTACAATTTATTATTAGTGTTTAATAACGTAGTTAACCAACAATCAATCACCTCCACTTTCGCTGCCACCCAAACTATGACAAATATCGTACTTGAGTTATTTAGCGTAAATTTAATGTATTAGGAGTTATTAATTTTAGCGTTTTTGCAATGTTTGAATTTGATATGTAATTAGGTAGGATGTAAAATGAAATGATTAATGAATTGAATTATTTCGTTATAATTAAAATGCGTATAGTTAATGGTTAAAACACTGCTTCTTTTTAGAGAGGGAAGAAATAAAGAACATATTCTCCCTCTAGCTAACATATCTACATCTCTCTTCAGCATTTTCACTAGCTACCATTTCCACCATGTCTACATCTTTCGAAAATAATTTATATTTATATTTATTTATGAGAATTTCCAATTATTAAATGAGTGGTTGAGATCGATCCAAGTTGCGACAAGGAAAGATGTTCGATGAATTTGGCTGTAAAAAAAGGAAATTGACTGTTTATATGTTTGCAAACTTTTTTTTAAAAAAATTGAAATTGTTTATTACAAGATGACAAAACTCTCCCATCAATTTGAAATTAAGAAATGAATTTCAGCGCTTTCTTGGGCACGTCGTGTAAAATAAATAACAAAACAAAAATTAATTTCAATATATCAATTTAAATTAATTTATCATAAACCAATTAAGCCACAAAAATTTGATTATGTTTCCATTTCTAACAATACGACTAAAAAACTGAGACAGTGACAACACATCCAACCACTAAAAAACATATTCCATTTACACTCTTTACCTGTCTGTCATGAGCTCCGACCTTTTTGAAAAAAAAAAAATTTTTTGTTTAATTAAAAACAAAACATACTTGATGATAATCCATTTTTTAAAAAAGAATCTTTTTTTTTCATAAAAAATAACCAAATAAAATAAAATAACAATGTACTTTATTCTTACTCACATGATTTTAGAAAATGAGTACCAGTAAAGATGCTGACTTCGAAGGGAGGTGGATTGTGAGATCTCACGTCGGTTGGAGAGGGGAATAAAACATTTTTTCATAAGGAGGTGGAAACTTTCTGTATAGCACACATGTATAGAAGAGAACAATATCGGTTAGTGGTGGGCTTGTGTTGTTATACAGCGACTTTCAATTCTTTTAAGTACTCTTGTGTTCGGTATTACGTTGGTTGATTGAATTTAAAATATTTAGAATAATTGCAAACAGGCGTTTACTTTTATGATGTTGACATTAAAATGACATACATTGTTTGAACAAAGAATAACTAAAGAATCATTTGGCGGGTTCTTCAATTTTTTTTCTTCTTTCATTTAAATTATACATAGAACATGATTATTCATCAATAATTAATGTTTAAAATAAAGGATAATAAATTAGATAACGTATGAACAAAGATAACTTAGTTTTATTCCACATATTTCTGGTGTAGCGAATAGTCAAAAGAATGGTAGCAATATATTGCAAATGTTTAATTCAAATAATTTGATATTCTTATAAATAAACCAATTGTCAAAATTAATAAATTCATAAAATATTAAATACTAGGTCAAACTTGGGTTCTTATTTTCCGTAAGAAAACTGGAATAATTAAATATAATATAGTTTTGTGGGTTTATTTCGGAGTTTGGACTATTATTTGATTATCAATAATTACAAGATTTCCAGGTCAACTTACATGTATGATGCACCAACTTGTGTATAACCAATCCTTAATCTAATAATTCATTTATTTAATTAATTAATTCTTCACTAATACTTAAGTATCTTTGTCTTCTATTACCAAATGAATTATCTTCTCCATTCTGCGTTTATCGCTTAAATTCTAGTTTAACGAACTTTATAAAGCTTTTATAATTATGTGATACAACATTTTTGTGTAAAACCTCTTAGACGTGTTTTAAAGCTGTGAGACTAACGACGATGCGTAACGAGCTAAAGTAAATAATATTTGTTAGCTGTGAACTTAGACTGTTACACTAATAAAAAATTTAGGTTAGTTTTATAAATTAAGAATAGCTTGATTCACCTGACGTGGGTCACACCGACCAAAAGATTTCATGTTATTATATATATAAAGAAAAGGGTTGGTTGGGAAACTTGGTTTTCATTTGTGTAGTTTTGTGTTTTCAAAAGTCAAGGTTTTTTTAGTTTTCACATGGTATATAGAAATTTTAAATAATGTGGAGAGAATTTGTGGATTTTTGTGAAAAGAAAAATAGTATAAATTCCATAAATATATTATTTAATGGGAAAATTATAATAAATTATTATTATTATTAAGAAATGGGTGAATAATAATAATTTTACTAAATTTCAAATTTAGTAAAAATACAAATGGTTTTTTTTCCTCTGAGGAATCATAAACAATGAAAAACATGATATTATCGTTTTTTTATTTAATTACTAGATGTTTTATTATTTTATGAGAAGGGAGATAACTTTGTCGTGAAGAAATAATATTAATTACACGTACAAAAAAAAAACAATGGAAACCAATATTTTCAACATTTATTTAAAATTTTATCGAATATCAATTGACAACGTGGTTTTTAAAAAAGAAACTGGGCCTTCAATGGGCCGACAGTCTACTTGGACCAATTCAATGGTGAAAGAACAAGGCCCACTTGGATACTAAAAAGTATCAATTTCTTGATTTAATTATTTTTACAATGTCATACTAAGCTATAGTCATAAATTATATTAAAAAAAAAAAACTATTATAAAAAATGTTATATTTTCAAAAATGAACAAAAGAAAAAAAAATATTAAAAACGTTATTACAAAAACCTATATCTGACCGACAAACGGCAAACCCGGTATACAATTTTTAAAATATTTTATTTCAGTCTTTTTTTTTAAAAAATAAATTTGTTTTACTCATTAAATTATCATTAATTTCTAATCAAATCAATCTCAATCTAATTTTGTCCTCCTAGAATATAAATTTTTCCATGCCTATTAAGATTTTCTTTTCGTCCGTGACCGCTTGATATTTAAATTTTGTAATTATTTATTCTCATCAAAATTTTGTGTTATAATTAATTTTTATAATTATATATATATATATATATATTGCAATTAATTAATTGATCGTTCTCTAATGTAATAAAATTTATTAAAACTCAATTGTTATAAAATTTAAAAGCTAAATGGTTATACGAGAAAAATTACTATAAATTAAAAATTTAAAGAATGTTGCTCAAGCAATGTAAAAATACTTAAAGTTTGTTTATTTTAAGTACGGGTGCATTGTTCCTTCTTCGACTAGGTCTAGAAGATAACATTTTTTCATTATACAAATAAAAGTTTGGATGTCTACGAACTCATATCACATTCACGTTTACACTATGTTTATGTAAAACTACTTCATTTATGTCACGTTCACGTGCAAATGGGTCGTATTATATTCATGTAATTTATTGTAGCAATATTTAAAAATGTGGTTTATATGGAAAATAAATGATATTAACATTTTAAAACTTTATTTGCAGTCAACGAAATTATTAAAAAGAATAAAATAGAGTTAAAAGGATTTATATATCAAAGACTTCTAACTTCTAATTTCAGTTGGGGGAAGACCTGTGGAGAGGTATAGGCCAAGGTTGCCGATAATGTGGCTGAACCAAGTTGTGTAGAGGTGTAGGTTAAGGTGGTAGGTCATATGGCTAGTTGGCTTGTCTGAGGTCGAAGTGTCCTACAACGCATAAACTCTCACCTGCACCCGAATCTGATTTTTCTCATTCTTAAATCAATATTGAATTAGAGTAATGAATCAAACATCGTTTTAATCTATGGTGAAGATTACATCGTTTTAATCTATGGTGAAAATTACAAAGATGACGTAGAAACGAAATGAGAAGCTTCATGGAATTGGGGGAAGCGGTTAGCAAT